ACAGGACCCAAATTTCTTGTAGCACTGTTTAGTCTTTGGTCCAAGAAGGTTCCTTTTTTTCAAGAACGTTTATTGTGTTTATGACAATTTGATAATTTCTCTCAAAGTGAGAAATTTCATGAGAGATGTTGAGAGTTGTGTTAATGTTTGTTCATTAACCAAAATAAAACTATGTTCATAGTCATGTTGTTTAGTGAGTCACAGCCACGATTTCACAGATATTTTTCTATGTGAAATAACAATTCTGATGCTTGTTTTTTAGTTCAAATGGTAAAAAAAAAAGTTAAAAAAAATGGTAATAAAATGTATAGTCTGTGCTGTAACTAAAACCTATATAACTATCCTTATTTTGAAATATATTAATAGAATTTTATTGTGATAATAAATCTTGTCCCAAAATATTTTGTCAGTGGCGTTAAAGAGAATTACATTGTCATTATAAAGAACAGAAAGACCTTTTTAAATAGGTTTATGGATGTCTTAGAAGAAGAAGTCCACGGTTAGTGAAATCTCTCTTCTGAAAAATTTGGCTAAAATATAAACAGATTCATGTGTCACAAAAATGTGGCTGCGGTGTTACTCATGAAACATGAACTGGTTTTAAGATTGGAACAACATAAATGCAGTATTTTACCATTTCTACACACAATGTGAGATTGAAACTAAGGTGGCTGCAGACTGTGTATGAGGGTCAGGCATATATTTAAAATATATGCACATATATGTTGTGTACAGACATGTGAGTATCAAATATTGGACATATTTGCTTGAAATCTGCATACATATGTCTGACACATGGCTGAATACATCCCTGTATTACTGTTAGAATTGTTACTATGTTGCCTGTTTTTAATGGTAAATTATTTAAATGTGACATGGAATGATATTTTCTCTTTTTTTCATTTTAAATTTATTTTTATAGATTTTAGTAGTTTTATTGCATTTAAAACTAACCTTGACTTCATTATGAAGTATTTGGAAAAAACAAAAAATATGATGCTCATTATTCTTTTATGTAAATTCATATCCATTTCTATACAGTCTTACATGCAAGTTTGGGCACCAAAAACCTCATATTATATAACAGGAAGCACACATGAGTAATACATGCCATCCATATATGACTAATGTTTTCTCTCATATGAGACTACGCCAAAGTATAAACCATCATGGCAAAACCAGTAAATGTTTTCTTTTGAACAGTGGTATGCTGGTGACCAGCTAAACCAACACCAGACCAGCTTGGACCAGCAAGGAATTCATGCTAGTCTGTGTTGTTTTCTTTTTTTAGCCAGGTAAACATACTTAGCTAAAGCTTTAGCTAAAGGCTAGGTCATTATTAGCCACCATGCAGCTGTGAGGACTGCTGCATTAGCAACTTCTGAACCTGATACCTTCCCTTGCTTATCTCCACATATAGTTTAGTCTTTGATAGCAGTGTTTTGATGTGGAAGAGTACTGTTAAAGTAGAGTGTGACTGTAGAGAGGTGAAGCTAGTGCTAGTCTAGATGTATTATATGAAGGTGTAGCCTGGATGACTAAACATCCTGCTAAAAAAACAGCAGGGTGCAGCAAAACCAGCATATGCTGTGTTTTGGTTGCTGGTATGCTAGTCAGTTAGCATAAACCAGCATGAACCAGTTTAGAATTCATGCTGGTTTGTGCTGTTTTTTTCAGCGGAGCATCTGGATCTGTGCTTCTTGTTATCTAGATGTGGTCACAGAGTCAGAGAGTGTTATATGGGTCATTCTACAGAAACGTCCACTCTTCTGTCTCTCCATAGGAGTCACTGGTGTTACTGATCCTCATTGGTGTTCCACATAATAAAGGAACACCAGAGACGTTTTTAATGAACAATGCATTTTACTAAACGGCTGCTACAGAGCATCAAACCACATGTTGTCCATCATGGAATATCCACTAAAATATGGAATTTAATCCATTTGTGTTCTGTTTTTTCATAATTACCTCAGAATAAAGTCGGTCACACCAGTGACTTCAGCTAAAAGCTTCATATGAAATCATGAGCTGAAATGAGAAAATCTCTGATAACTGAAAGACACAGTGGACTCACCATGAGCTTTTCTTCATAGATCCTCAGAAAACAGGGAAAAGGAAGTCAAATGATGTCATCAGTGTGACTTTTATTTCAAAATAAGTGATTTTTTGTTACGCAGTAACACCAGTGACACGACCCCTGGGGAACTTTCATTATATATTTTATAATATTTATTTGGCATTTGTTTTCTTTATGTCATTTAATTCATATATTTCATAGTCATGTATAGATTATTGTACTAGGTGTATGGTGTATGCTTGGAATTGTAGATAATTGATTTAAAAACCAATATTGCTAAATTGATGGCTAAAGAAGGTACAATTGTTAAAATAACTTATTGTTTTATTTGAAAATGTAAATAAATTCTAACCCAAGTTATAAAGTGTAATATATCTGTAAATGCTAGGGACAGAAAAATGGACGTTTCTGTAGAATGACCCATTAGCGTATTCTATCAGCTGCTTAGCAAGAAATTAGGCAGACGTATAACATTCGTACACTAATGAACTACATTGTTCTGCCTTAAGTCAAATACTTGAGTGTAATAGATTCTCTTCAGTATGAATTTAGACACATAACCATCTTCCCCGTTGAGCATGAGCAGTAGCAGCTGGCTAACCTGCCTTATTTGATATGCTTAAGCACCTCTCGCTGATGCTATTAAAGTGGCCTCTTGTTTCCTGTGCTCTCTGATGCCGTCACCTTGGTGGTAAGACGAGGGAAAATGAGAGCCGTGGCAGAACCATATTAGAACAAATCCCCCCCAACCTCGCCGGCCGAGCAATAAGACCCAAAGCCAATTACAGCAGTGAAGGCGAGGCCCAGCGCGAATGTGTAAAAGACAATGACGTGGTGTGGAAAGGCAGGGAAAGCTCTTTACTGCTCTAGGGCTGTGTGGGTGTCGAGTGTTTCCATATGTTTAAAATTAGATATGCTAATCTGCATACATGTCAGCGGGATTCGCTTATGGATCGAAGTGTCAGAGACGCTGGAAACCACTTCTGATATTCAGGGTTCCAGTTTTACTGCTTTTTGACAGGTAAAAACTCTGCAGGACTACACTCTCAAAAACCATGGCTCTTCAAGGGTTCTTTAGCAAAGGCAATGGTTCTATATAGACCCATGAACACTGCATGTTTAAATGGTTCTTTGTATGGTGAAATGGTTCTTCAGATTGATGGAGAATGTGTTGTATGTGGCTCTATATAGGACCACGAAGCGTTCTTCTTTTATTACAATGTCAACCATTTTTGGTGCTATATAGATCCCATTCTACATAGAACCCTTTTCAAAAAAGCTTCTATATAGAACCATAAACAGTTTAAATTACAATTTAAGCATGCAAATGGTTCATTGGTTCATATGGGTTCATATATGTTCATGGTTCTATATAGAACCATTGGGCCTTATTCACCAACCGTTCTTAAGAAGAAATTTCTTCTTAAAACCCACTTACACAGTTTTCACGAAGAATCTGACTCACCAGTGTTCTCGTATTTGGGATTTGTTCTTAGGTAGGAACAGAATCTACACACACTCAAGAGCACAAAGGTGAGAACAGTTCTGCGCTTTAAGAACACGACATGAATCTGACGTAGACTTTTTCTCAGGATCTTTCTCAAGAACACACTTAAGAACAAACTTAGGAAGTTATTGGTGAATGAGGCCCAGTGTCTTTACTGAAGAATCCTTGAAGAATCATCAATTTTAGAGAACTAACACTCTAAAATTACAGTATATTTAATATCCATTCATGGTGGAAGGATTCATGTAGGGTGTCATGAGGCAAAATAGTCCCCAAAGAAAACTTATTATTTCAGATTTGTCACTGTATACCTCTCACTCTCTGTTTGCCAGCCATGCGGTGCTGCAGTACTGCTTCTCCAATTCCCAACTGAATTCCCAAGGAGCAAATTATAATACATCACCATTTATTTCAGTATGAAATATGAGGTGTGAGTGTTATAATGCGCTGTGGTGTATGATGCTGATTAAGTTCAGTGATTATAACAGACATTTATTATCTTTGCTGGAGAGTAATCAACACTCTGCCCGGTTTAAACACATAAAATATGGTTGTTACCATTTATTGCTCAACTCCTCCAGCCTGAGGAAGCTTTACAGTAAATTACACGCTGCATCTGATACGACATAAACTGCAGAGCTTTAAATACCCCAACAGTAACATCCGCTCAGACATCGCCGACGGGAAAGGAAAGCAGGAATGTAAATTACTGTGTTATTTACAAAATTGTGTTTGGTGCAAAAAGCAGTAGGTGCTCTCTGATGTATGTACTGTTGAGGATGTTGTGCATTGGCTTTTTATACACCTTAGCAGATGATTAATCATTCAAATTATGTAGAATTGATAACTGAATTGTTTATTTGTTAATATATCTGTAATAAATGTATCTGTAAATATTCAAATTGAGTGGTCAAGCTCCAATATTCTCAGACTGCCTTTAGACTGTATCTATGCCAATATTCGCATTGCAAATGACTCATTAGGCTAACAACATTCACACTGTGCAGAATTTACCAAGAAATAGTTCATTTATGAGCTAATTTATTCATAAATTTATCTGCACATATTTTAAAAAACATAGTCAAGCTCTTAAAGATCCCAGATTGCGTTTACATTATTACTACAATATGAACAGCCTTAGCATTACAGATGACTCAGATCAAGCTAACAACACTAAAACAGTCCTGAATTTATTAATAATTTACTCATTGTTTATTTGTGAGCCCATTTTTGTCTGTAAATATATCTGTGCATATTTTTAAAACATAGGGTCAAGCTCTAATGTGTTTCAACAGTATTGCAATACTTTATCGATACTAAGAATACTGTTAGCATCAAATATGCAAGATGCAAGTTCTTGCTAGCAGTTTCATGGTAGCTGTTCGCTCTGAAGCTGTCTCTCTCTGTGTTCCGCAGGCAGGATGAGCACATTTGTGACCCTGGCGGAGGTGCTGGAGTCACGGGGAGCTCCTCTGGAGGAGGGTGAGGTGTGGGCCCTCCTGCTGGGTGCAGCAGAAGCCTTGGTGGGAATCTCCAGTAAAGGTACAGAGATACGTGGGCTGGCCCCCAGTAGAGTCTGGCTGCAGACATGCACTCTCAGCCAGATGCACTCTCAGCCCCAGTGACGTCATGTGCACAGGCACTCTCTGCCACAACGGCACGGTAACTTTTGGCTGCTGCTGCTGAGCGACATCATCACTTAATCCACTTTTCCTCTCCATAACTCAGCTAGAGAGTTACATTTAATGCACCTCCCTGCTGAAAAACATCATAGAACCCATTAAAAGTGTCTTTTGGTTCTTGGTGGTTTTCAGTGGTCACTAGTGGTGTTCTGTGTTTTCCTGATTTCACAGTGTAAAGGATTCTGATCGTTTAATCAGGTGTTTTGACCACATACATTTGTTCGTTTCCTAATGGCCTCCAACAGCAACAATCAAGCCAATTCCTGTTAGGAAGCAAAACCATCAGGTTTTATTCCTAACAGCGCTGCAAACGCAGTTACATTGTGAACCTACTGTTTTGGTGCCACAGCATCGTCTGCTTTTCTACATTGTCACAACATTGAAATGTCATTCCTCAGAAAGTCATGACAACGTTGTCTGACAACTTTCTAGGAGGTTGTGACGACGTTGACGAGACAGCAACAGTAATCGGTACTGTATTTTGACTGTATGTTGTCACAACCTCCTAGAATACTTAATGAGTTCTATTTTAATCAATTTTATAGTTTTTGATGACCGGTTCTAATCGTCTTCTAATCGCCTTTTTGTTCTTTGTGCGAATAAACCTGATCATTGTGGTAGGTTTTATTTTAAAAGTTTCCATATTTAATTACCTTGTTATCAGTACGGCAACGTTAATATGTGTTCAGTGTAACTCTTGTTGCCCAGTAGTTCTTGGTTCACTGATTTCCTCATAAAACCAACAAAAACACTGTCGTGGCAGAGCAGCACTGAGGTCATCAATAGGCTGGCAGTGCAGGACAGACTGAGAGTGCATGTCTGCAGCCAGACCTTCTCGATTTTTGGGTCAGTCAGAGTCGACAGTTGGAGAGAGAGTCGAGTCGTGTGTGAGCGGCACAGACTCCAATTTTTGGCCTCCCGATTGTGTTTCAGACCAGCCGGAGTTTATCAGACATGTTTGATTTTTTCAACTCTGAGGGTAATCTAGTGTAAACTGATCAGCGACTCAATCTGAACAGACTCCTGCAAAAGCCACTGAAAACTGAGAGCATGAAATAAGAAAATACAGCAAGTAAACATGGAAAAAACGATGAAAAGTTTCTCATATGTGGAGCGAAGCTTTTTACTGAGCTGAGTTTAAAGCACAATCGAGTTTATGTACATTTAAAACTCTAAAAAATCCCACCCTGATCACATTTAAATCCATGATCCTCATTTAGACATGTTTACCTGCTGCTTCTTTACTGCATCAGTGCAAACAGCAAAGAAAACAGCAGCAGCAGCTCCACCTTTGTTACCCTTGGTAACAGGAGAATGTGTGAAAATCTACAAAAACCAGTCGGACAGTGTGAGATGCCCAGTCTGTTTATGATCTGATAAGACTTTAAACATGGTGTAGTCAACCCAAAGCTTAAACTGTGTGGAGTTGTCACATAATCTGCAATAGTGGTTTCTGGCACCACATGACATACTGTTAGTTTAATGGATCTCTGAAGTCGTGCATCAGGATGGTGTCAGAAACTCCAGGTCTGAGCTGGTTTTCTCTGTGAAACATACGAAGACTATAGTCAAAAACTGCCGCTATCTCATCCTGTGCTACGCTAAAATGCTCCAAAGCTGATATGACTTGTCCAGTCTAGTTTTCCTCTGAATAACATTGTATCGTGTGAATTAGGAGGTCATTAAAGAGCAAAAATGAAAAACTGCTGCGCACTGAACTGACCCCATAAGACTGACCTCACCAAAGTACCCCACACAGACCAGAGACTGTCCAGAGTGGTGGTTTACAGCAGGGTTCCCAAACTAGTGCCACTCAGATTGATGGAGAGTGTGTTGGTTCTATATAGCACCAAATAGGGTTCTTGTATTGTTACAATATCAACCTTGTAACAATAGAAACAAAAAAAACATTCTGTCATATTTAAAATGATTAGTTTGGTCAAATGTCTGTATGCTGCAATGACATTTTGCAGTTTTTAATTAAAAATAATCATTAAAATTGACGGCCAACTTCCCCCTTGCAGCACCACCATGGCCCACAGGTTTAAAACCACTGGGTTAGATGAATTTGGCAGTTTTACAGTAGCTGGTGTTGGTAAATCACAGTGTTGAGGTTTAATCATAGACTTACTTTAATTTGACATCATTTCAGTGAATGTTAGCTTGTTTGTAGCATGTACACCGATCAGGCATAACATTATGACATTATGGTGGTGGTGTGTTAGGGTGTGTTGTGCTGGTGCGAGTGGATCAGACACAGCAGTGCCGCTGGAGTTTTTTAACACTGTGCCCACTCACTGTCCACTCTATTAGACACTCCTACCTTGTCAGTCCACCTTGTAGATGTAAAGTCAGAGACGATAGCTCATCTGCTGCTGCACAGTTTGTGTTGGTCATCCTCTAGTCCTTCATCAGTGGTCACAGGACACTGCCCACAGGACGCTGTTGGCTGGATATTTTTGGTCGGTGGACTATTCTCAGTCCAGCAGTGACACTGAGGTGTTTAAAAACTCCAGCAGCACTGCTGTGTCTGATCCACTCAGACCAGCACAACACACACTAACACACCACCACCACGTCAGTGTTACTGCAGTGCTGAGAATGATCCACCACCCAAATAGTACCTGCTCTGTGAGGGTCCATGGGGGTCCTGACCACTGAAGAACAGGGTAAAAGGGGGCTAACAAAGTATCAGAGAAACAGATGGACTACAGTCTGTAACTGTAGAACTACAAAGTGCACCTATATAGTAAGTGGAGCTGATAAAATGGACAATGAGTGTAGAAACAAGGAGGTGGTCAGAATGTTATGCCTGACCGATGTATTTCTTCGCTTTAGTGTTGAGCTAATTTTTATTATTTTGCCTCCTTTTACAGGCACTTCACTTATGTTACTTTAAGTATTGTGTTATTATTTCATTTTTTTAATTGTTTCATTTTTATTACTTTCACTTACATGACTGTTTAAAGCACAGTGAGCTTTTAAAGTCCCAATGTTATGGAAAGCTGAATTGTCCCTGCTTTTTATGAAATTAAATAATTTAGTAATATGTGAACATTATTAAAAGTTTCAAAATATACCATTTTCTTCTCGGTCCATATATGGGCAGCCCATTTTGAATGTCACATTTGCATATATCTTCCTGTTCAGCCTACAGCAGTTTAGTCCCACCCACTCACACTGAGGAGTGTTTTAGATTTGACTGCTTTTTGAAGGAAGTAGCCAATCAGAAAAGCTTATTTATAAATATCAGTCTTAAATGCACAGTCTGTTTAATTCTAAAGGATAAACAGAGGCTGGAAAATAGTCATAAAGAAATACATTTTCGTAAAATATTTATTATCATTATTATTATTATTATTATTATTATTATTACTACTTTAACTTTGGTCAGACTTTAAGATGATCACCCCCTCCATACACACCTAAAAAGAAGGGTTCTTTAGTAAAGAAAATGGTTCTACATGAACACTCAAAGAACACTCTGCATGCTTAAAGGGGTGCTGTTGATGGTTATATATAGGCCCCTCTTTAAAATAGTTCTATATAGCACCAACAAGGTTTCTGCTATTGTTAAAAGCAGAACTCTTTTGGTGCTATTTAGAACCCTTTTCAGAAAAGGTTCTATATAGAATCATCTACAGCACTCTGCAATCTGAAGAACCATTTCACGGTGCAAAGACCCATTTAAGCATGCAGAGTGTTCATTTTCTTTACTAAAGAACCCTTGAAGAACCATCTTTCTAAGAGTGTGGTAAGTGCAGATCAGTCAAATAATATTCACTCGCTGCGTTTCTAACAGTGTGTTGGTTCCTCTGGTCTCTGCAGGTCCTGCTAACCTGTGCAGTATAATCAGTCCAGGCTCCATGCTGCTCTCACCCAGCGGCACCGTGGCCTTCAAAACCTGCCGCCGCTCCGAGGACGTGGCTTCCTTCACTTCTCCGGAGACGACGCAGGCTCGGCCTTCCTCCAGCAGACAGGACGTGGAGAAGGTGAGCTGCCCGTCTCGTCCAGAGCAGGAGAGATTACTGACAGTCAGGTGAAGGTTAAAGGTAAAGGGTGGAGAACGCTGTAATCTTCTTCTTAGGAAGGTCAGCTTGAGAAGCGCAGTCATACAAGTGGTTTTACAGGTTAAAGCTTGCTAAAACTGGTAAGTACCATGTTGGAAAAGGTTCTAGGTACATTATAGGCCCTATTTGGAGAAGGAAGTGCGTCAATGCAGCAGAAGAAAAACTCTAAGGTAAAATACTTGGTGTTGGAGCCACACGTTCAGGACAGAATCAGTAGGAGGACCTCATTTACAGCAAATCATCAAAGATCTGCCCTTTTGAGAATCTGTCAGATCATTTATCTTCCCACAACACCCATCGCATCCCTTTGTCTTAGCCATAACATGCTGCCTCTGCCTGTTCGGGAGCTTCCTCAGTTGAACTATACATTTTTACTTTGGTAACTTTGATTGAATATATTTAGATGGATGTTTATATGATTTATAAACCGGAAGTGAGCTGGATTTTCATCTTCGTAGGTGAGCAAACAGAGCAACATTTCTGAAAGTGCATTTACTGTGTCAGCCGTGCAGGACTGTTCGATATGGAGAAAGGTCCGTTTTATAACAGCATAACCATCTTTGTGGAAAGGTGTGAAGAGTTTTTCACAGCAGGGGGTTCTCACCCCTCCCCTTTCACCTCTCATTGCTCACTAGCAGCTCAATGACATTTCCCACACCGAGAGACAACAGAGTCCTAGTTCATCTGATAACAGAGTTGCAGGCAGGAAATATTTATTTTGTTATATTAATTACAAATATCTTAGTCAAAATCACCACCAGGGGGCACTGCAGAAAGAGACTGCTCAGTGTAGCCTTTTAAAAGCAGTGCAACAGGAGGCATGTTTAATTTGCTCAAGCAAAAAATGCTGGATATATGGATGTGAGGAGATATCGACAACCCCCAAATGACACTGCATTAAAAACCGACATGAGATCACCGCACAGGCTCAGGAATACTCTGACAAATCATCGTTAATAAACAACACCTGTCGCTGCATCCACAAATGCAAGTTAAAACTGTACTATGCACAGTGGTTGTCATATATCAACATCATCCAGAAACGCTGCCGACTTCTCTGAACCCGAGCTCCTCTGAAATGGACTGATGCATGGAAACATGAAATAATGGACGTTGTGTTCTCCAGGCCAAAAAAGAAAAGGACCATCCCGATTGTTATTAGTATAAATTCAAAATCCAGCATCTGTCATGGTGTGGGGGCATAATTGGCTACGTTTACACAGCTGGTAAAAGTGGCCCAAATCCGATCATTTTCCTCGTATGTGACGCAAATGTGTCATCTGTGTGTCAGTGTAAACAGATGAACACACTGTCATATGTGGTACTGAAATCCAATACGTATCCGGTCTGTGACAATGCGACTCAGCCTGAACAGCCAGATCGGAATTCATGACTTTTACGTCAATCGAACTCGACATTCGTCATAATTTCACGCTGCTGAGGCTCATAAACATTTAGGCTGATGTTTCTGTACCAAAAAAATAGAAGAGACTTATCAAACCGCTCCGTGTTCGAGGTTTCAAACGATAACGGCCGAACGTGGCCGGAGGAGACCAAGACTGCAGCGTCAAAAAAGTTTAAAGAATCCAAGGCAAAGACATGACCCAAAGAAGTCATGTGTAAACGTAGCCTTAGTGGGCAACCCGCATATCTGTGAAAGCACTATTAACGCTGAAAGATATCTACGATGCCTTCTAGACGACATCTATTTAGGGACATCCTCACTTAATTCAACATGACTTTAACATGGCAGTGTAATCAGAAAGAGTAGGTGCTGGACTGGCCTGCCTGTCTGCCTCTGAAACTCCACTGTGCAGAGTCTTGATGATAATTAAGTGCTGTTTAAAGAAAAGGTGATCTAACATGGTAACAAGGTAAACAGGCTCCTGTCCCAACTTTTTTGGAACATGTTTTGAGCGTCATATTTCAAATGAGTACATCGTCGCTGTTCAAAGAAAAACAAGTATCTCCAAAATAGTAACTTTACAGGAGAGGGCAAAAACGTTCTGAACTGTCAATGTAAGTCAATGTAAATTGATTTTATTCCAAGCAATTTTGGAGCATTTCTATTGGTCCATTCATCATGAAATTTCACACTACATAAAGGACATCTGCCACGCTCAAATGATATAAAAAAGAAAAAAAAATGGAAATGCGTTTTTCTTTGGATATTAATTATATCCATTATAAAAACAATAGCGTTCGTAAGGTTTTCAACGTAATACAGGTCTAAAAAAGAGTTTACCCATTACAGCTGTCTGTTTTTATTAGCATTTCAAACACTGTCCCAACTTTTTTGGAATTGAGGTTTATAGAACAACCCCATAGTAATACAGCATAACACGGTGTAGTGAGACATACAGAATAATGCACTGTAAAATGCCATGTGTGGGGTAAATATGAAATGGTGATTCTTTTGTGGTGACTCTCCATTCAAAGCTGTTGTTTGCCTTGATTAGTGCCCAGAAAACGTATCATTTCACTCATTGCTGGTTCTAGATGGTGGTGTTCTCTCTGGGAATGACCCTCTACTGGACTGTAGATTATCAGCTTCCTCAAAATCAGGTAATCATCGGCATTCTAGAGCTTGAAGGTTTGAGATTATGTTATGAGATGTGAAAGACCTTTGTGTTCTCAGTTTGAACAGGTGACATAAAGGTCACGGGCTGTTCGCTTAAGCTGTAATGCTCTTTCCTCCGGCAGCCCATCCAGCTCAGCAACCACCTGAACAGCCTTCTACTGAGCATGTGCGAAGACGTGGCTCACAGACGCCCTGAGCTGCTGGCCTTGCTGGAGGCGAGTGTCCAGCATCACAAGAACAATCTCCTCCCTCCGCCGGACAGAGTCGTCAGACAGCTGGTCCAGGATGTCCTACAAGACCCTGTGAGTCAGCTTTGATGTTTAAAGTAAAATCAGATTTATCATTTATCATAGCTTATCGCAATTATGGTCTATCAGTGTGGAGCTATGAGGCTAGTGTGGCTAACAAGTAAAGAAAACCCTAATACCCTACCATTTAGCATCATGCTAACAGTCCTTGTGCAGGGACATGGGAAGTGGACATAATGAGGAACGTTGAAAATTTTGAAATAATTTAAGTGTCGTAAAGATGAATGTGTGCTTGTCTTAGTTTGGAGTTTGTATCTTTAGCTTCTGTTTTTGTCTATATATCACTTTCCTTGCCAGCTGTGTGGTTGTGAGTCAGCTAAATCTTCCTATGGGTCCTTTGCTGTCATGTGGGGGTTTTGCTTTGCATTTCTGGTAGCATATTAGCAGTTCTGAGAGCCTTATTGTTCTTCTAGATCTGGCCTTGACATCCACAGCTAGAGAAATGTGATCTTCCCTCTTGAAAATAGAGAAATAGCTCTAAAATACAAGCCCAAATTTGGCATTGTGAGTCATTTGCTTCCTACATAAACCTATACAGTTAATTTATAGAAAACTTGCTTACACTTTCCATGCACTTGACATGATGCTTGTTCAGATCATTTTGTTTACAGATCTGTTTCAATCAACAGTCTTTAATCGTGACATATTATATGATATGTCATATCCTACGCTTGACAGTGAGCAACAGCCAATCAGAGTACATCATTTGGAGATTTAAAGGAGGAGGTGGGTGTGCTCATGCACAGCGCTGGAAAACGGCTGCACGGATTGGCTTTGGTTAGGGTGTGTCAGCCAATCAGAGCTTCTGGTTCAGAGAAAGTCATGGTGAGAGTGTTCCTGGGCAACTTTGAGAGAGAAGAAACAGAAAAACTAAACTAAAACGAATCCAAAAGCAAAAACAGAAAAAAACATACAGCTACGAGGATATGTTCTACTGACAAGGTTCTAGAATTGCTGATACAGCATGAGATCATGCACAATGTAAGAACTCTTCAGATCCCCAATCATGTTATTCAGAAGGCACGAGTGAGTCAGTTTTGGCATCATGAGGCAAACGATACAGGCTGTGTAAAATATAAAAAAAAACTAAATATTTGTTTGTGTTGAGTTTGCAAAGTGCTCTATTGTAACTGTGGACAGAAACTAGTAAAGAAAAAACTTCAAATAACTTGGATTTTAGGTCAAAGGGTTTCGTGCAGGTTTTTGTGTTAAATTGTGCAATAAAAATTGCAAAAATAATATAATTTTTTTTCAAGCTACTGTGGTTTAATGGGCTAATTCAGAAATATAGTGTGTAGAAATCTTTACTGTATGGCATTTTATTGGCTGAGGTTGTACTGAATCTGGGGATAAATAAGATGTTACGCTTCTGTACAAAAAAAAAAACAAAATGAAAGTGCAACACAAAAGTACGCAAAGGTGGACGTGAGTCAATGTAGTCCTTAAAGGGTCAACTGCCATTTCAGACAGTGAACATGGTACCATCTTTTTGTAGCTGTCTCCTGCTGTGTTGGCATCATTTAGCTTCATTTTTAGATCTTCAGCCAGCTGCTTAGAGGAGTTCATGGTTGTTGAGTGTCAGCACAAAGTTTGAAATTGTCCATTTTATCAGCTCCACTTACTATATAGGTGCACTTTGTAGTTCTACAGTTACAGACTGTAGTCCATCTGTTTCTCTGATACTTTGTTAGCCCCCGTTTTACCCTGTTCTTCAGTGGTCAGGACCCCCATGGACCCTCACAGAGCAGGTACTATTTGGGTGGTGGATCATTCTCAGCACTGCAGTAACACTGACGTGGTGGTGGTGTGTTAGTATGTGTTGTGCTGGTCTGAGTGGATCAGACACAGCAGTGCTGCTGGAGTTTTTAAACACTGTGTCCACTCACTGTCCACTCTATTAGACACTCCTACCTTGTCAGTCCACCTTGTAGATGTAAAGTCAGAGACAATAGCTCATCTGCTGCTGCACAGTTTGTGTTGGTCATCCTCTAGTCCTTCATCAGTGGTCACAGGACGCTGCCCACAGGACGCTGTTGGCTGGATATTTTTGGTTGGTGGACTATTCTCAGTCCAGCAGCGACACTGAGGTGTTTAAAAACTCCAGCAGCACTGCTGTGTCTGATCCACTCAGACCAGCACAACACACACTAACACACCACCACGTCAGTGTTACTGCAGTGCTGAGAATGATCCACCACCCAAATAGTACCTGCTCTGTGAGGGTCCATGGGGGTCCTGACCACTGAAGAACAGGGTAAAAGGGGGGTAACAAGTATCAGAGAAACAGATGGACTACAGTCTGTAACTGTAGAACTACAAAGTGCACCTATACAGTAAGTGGAGCTGATAAAATGGACAATGAGTGTAGAAACAAGGAGGTGGTCAGAATGTTATGCCTGATCGGTGCATCTCAGACATGTTCTCCATGTTTTTCAGGCAGAGAACGCTTTGGGTAATGCTGCTCTTCTAACAGATCGAAGTCAGCTGATTAGAGACAGGCTTCGAGGTGAGACTTTACTATTATTTCAGCACTGATCTGATTGTTCAGCTTATTGTGATCCAGCCTAAGACAGAAAACAATGTCCAGAATATAAGATCTCCTTTTGTTTTAGGGAGTCCAAAAGGAAACGGCTCACCATCCCACACTTTTCAGACTGACTCTAACAAGTAAGTAGCCATCTGGTGCCAGGCGATACAGCCAGAAATCTCAGAATAAGTCTTTATCATATTAATTTCATATTCATAATTGGTGTGTTTTATTATAGGCATGTCCTAATGCTCAGTTTTAAGACTGGGATAGTATTTTCAACCCTGAAGAAAACTTAAAGCTCATTCTGGCTTTTTTACTGCCAGGATAATTTTTAAGGGTGCTGCATTTTTACTGGGCCTATAAATTAAACTGGGTCTTTAAGTAACAAAGCCTTTTTAAAAAGTTGCTACGGAGCTTCTTTCCCTTTCACTTTCCCAAAAATTAAACATAGAAAATAGTTGCAGCTATCTAACTCTGCTAACTGTCCCGCTGGTGTGTGCTGTTGTGAGTGAACGGCTAGACTTCTTCTCCCTTTCCGTCTAGCAAGTACATCTAAACATTGTACAGAACCATTTATTGGAAAAAACTTTGAATGTATTATCAACAACATTATCAGTATCAAAAAGAGTTTGACCTCAATGATTGTCGTTATCTTGTATCTGTTTATTTTGCAATACTTTTGATATTTAAGTAAAAGTTATAAGCAAATTCTTTTTAACTCAATATCTGTCCAGAAGTCTGTCGACTCCAGAGTTTATTCTGAAATGAAAGGTGTTAATAGTGAGTCTGTGCTGCAGTAACAGCCTCTACTCTTCTGGGAAGGCTCTAGATGTTGAACATTGCTGTGAAGATTTGATTGAGCATTAGTGAGGTCAGGTACTGATGTTGGATGGTCAGTTCTGGGTCACTCCAACTCATCCCAAAGGTATTGGATGGAGCTCCGTCACTCCAGAGAACACAGTTCCACTGCTCCACAGCCCAATGCTGGGGGGCTTTATATCCCTCTAGCCCACGCTGGGCACTGGACACGGAGGATCATGTGCAGCTGCTCCCATGTTGACTCCACCTCAGTAATCTCCTAAGATCACACATCATTTCCTTTTTTGGTCTGAGCCTGAAAAGATTTCATGAGATGAAGAAGTGAAGAAATGTGGGAGGGTTTGGATGTTGATTCCTCCCTGGATATTGATGACCTCAGCACTTTTACCTGTCCTTGCTATTTCCTAGAAGCTCCGTTCCCAGAGGAAGCAGCAGCACGTGGCTGAGCCGCAGTCCGTACCTCGACAGATGCCAGCAGCTTAACTCCAAACCTCACCAGTCATTCGGCTCCTCGCTCAGTCTCAGCGAGAGGAGACTGAAGGTAACCTGCAATCTGAGAGAAAGATTCAAAATAAATTCATAAGATCTACAGCATCTGTCTGTTTGTGCTCCAGCCATTAGGAACCAAGAGTTGCGTGATTTGTTTTATGTAATTACATAACAATTAGAATAATCACACGGTTAATTATGTGATGAATTCCATTTATATTTACAATCAGTGGTGGACGAAGTACACAAACCATGTACTTGAGTTAAAGTAGAGACACCCAAGGTAAAATATTACTCCAGTAAAAGTAGAAGTTCCTCCCTTTAGACCTCCACTTGAGTAAAAGTACTAAAGTATTTGCCTTCAAATGTACTTAAGTATCAAAAGTGAAAGTACTAAAACATTAATTATGACTTTAAAGTCATGTTACCATTTTTGTAAGAAGACTCGCTTCATTAACTCATTTTAGGTGAAAATACTCCAGTGTCTCTCTTGGTAAACCAGTCTATTAATAGAGTCATTAATTAGTGACGCTGATGTCTATAAAAATTATCATAAGCACAAAACACTGAAGGCGAACAGTTTCCATCAGGTGGAACTGAGTGGCTCTGAAATCACTTTTTACAAACAAGCAAAGTTTCAGTTTAAAATTTATTTGAACTTAGTTACAAGTTTAAGTTTAATAAAAGCTTTAAACACAGATTCACAAATGAGTTTCCTTTACTAAACTGCATCTGTAGGTCTCTGTTCATAAACATAAACTATCCATCATCTAAACCACTTATCCTTCTGGGTCGCGGTGGGGTGCTGGAGCCTATCCCAGCTGTCATTGGGCGGAAGGCAGGATACACCCTGGACAGGTCGCCAGTCCATCACAGGGCAGACAGACAGACATACACAGTCACACACACCTAGGGGCAATTTTAGCATGTCCAATCAGCCTGACTGCATGTTTTTGGACTGTGGGAGGAAACCGGAGTACCCGGAGGAAACCCACGCAGACACGGGGAGAACAGGCAAAACTCCACACAGAAATGACCCTGGTCACCCGGCCGGGAATCGAACCCAGGCCATTCTTGCTGTGAGGCGACAGCGCTACCCACTGCGCCACCCTAAACATAAACTAGCCAAAACTAATTTACTATAAAATGAAATAGTGTTTGTATAAATTCAGAAAAAAGACCCGTCAGTCTCAACTGCATATGTGTACATATTTCTATATTGTGGTCTGTTTACACAAAGTTAGGTTAGTTCATCATTTATGTTGAATAGACTCTCCCAGAATTTTACGCTGCTGCACTGATGTTGAACCGTGTGCTGCACTGGGTCGGTATGACCAACAGGTCAAAACAAGCTCAAAACAAAGTGACCGCTGTGCCCTGATTGGTGGTCTTGTTTTGCGCTTCTTTTGTTTTGACATGTTACGTTTTTATACACACATAAACCAAAAGGAGCGACAGATTTCTCATAATGTAGTGGAGTAAAAAGTGAGATATCTGACTTTGAAATGTAGTGGAGTGAAAGTAAAAAGTCACCCAAAATGGAAAAACTTCAGTAAAGTACAGATACAGGAAAAACTACTTAAGTACAGCATCGAATTACTTTTACTTAGTTACTGTCCACCACTGTTTACAATAAACAGATTCAAGATTGTAATTTGTGCTTCTGACTGTTTGACTTTTTTCAGTTTTCATCTAAAATGGCTGTAGTTATGTTGTGGACATGGCGACCCCTGGTTCCTATGACCACCACTGGTTGAATTATGCAGAAATTTGAAGAAAAAAACAGTGGATTTGTCTTCAAAAAGGAAAATAACTGTCTGAATCACTGGTGTAGCGTTCTTTATAAAGTTTGAAGTGGTAAAGCAAGTCAGAGCGTGAACTATAGCATGACCTTGTGTCTCTCCTGGCAGGATTTGGGCCCAGAGTTCGTCAGAATGCTGGATGAACCTCTCATTATCTTGGAGCTGCCCAGTTCCATTGTGGTGAGTCTAATATCATTAAAAGTCAGCTGCTATGGCACTGTGGAGTCAGAACCAAGCTGCTGTGTGCCAGTATTCTCCAGCCTGATGCCATCTGGATTGCTGCAATCCCATTTCCTAATTATTTAATTCCCTTTTCTTTTCTCTGTCCCTCTTTGTACTTCCACAGTCAAAGAAAGGGAAGTCCTGTTCCACTCAGAGGGATCTGAGAGTAATTATGCCAAATGGACAGATCATCCTGGTCAAGTGTGATGTGAAGTCCAGAGGAGGGGACGTGTTCGATATGATTATAGCCCATTGCAAAATGGTGGAGCATTTCTACTTCGGCCTTGCGTACAGTGAAGGTATTGTGTGCCAGTCTTTAATATTTCTGTTATTTAAATACAAACTTCGAATCTGAAATAGTTGGGACAGTAAATGCCAATAAAACAGAAAGCAGTGATTAGTAGGTTCTGTTTTACCTGTGCTAAATAGTAAAGTAGTACAAAAACTCATTGTTTTTTGAAAATATGAGCTCATTACAAATTTGATGCCTGCAGTATGTTCCAAAAAAGTTGGGACAGGAGACTGTTTACCACTGTGTTACATCACCTTTCCTTTAAAAAGCATTTAATAATCATTTTGGGACTGAAGACACAAACTGATCCAGTTTTGAAAGTGTCATTGTTTGCCACTCTGTAATACAAGTCTTCAGCTGTGTAATCATACAGGGCCTTTATTACTGTATTTGTTTGTACACCAATCAGGCATAACATTATGACCACCTCCTTGTTTCTACACTCATTGTCCATTTTATCAGCTCCACTTACTATATAGGTGCACTTTGTAGTTCTACAGTTACAGACTGTAGTCCATCTGTTTCTCTGATACTTTGTTAGCCCCCTTTTACCCTGTTCTTCAGTGGTCAGGACCCCCATGGACCCTCACAGAGCAGGTACTATTTGGGTGGTGGATCATTCTCAGCACTGCAGTAACACTGACGTGGTGGTGGTGTGTAAGTGTGTGTTATGCTGGTGCGAGTGGATCAGACACAGCAGTGCTGCTGGAGTTTTTAAACACTGTGTCCACTCACTGTCCACTCTATTAGACACTCCTACCTTGTCAGTCCACTTTGTAGATGTAAAGTCAGAGACGATAGCTCATCTGCTGCTGCACAGTTTGTGTTGGTCATCCTCTAGTCCTTCATCAGTGGTCACAGGACGCTGCCCACAGGACGCTGTTGGCTGGATATTTTTGGTTGGTGGACTATTCTCAGTCCAGCAGTGACACTGAGGTGTTTAAAAACTCCAGCAGCACTGCTGTGTCTGATCCACTCGTACCAGCACAACACACACTAACACACCACCACCACGTCAGTGTTACTGCAGTGCTGAGAATGATCCACCACCCAAATAGTACCTGCTCTGTGAGGGTCCATGGGGGTCCTGACCACTGAAGAACAGGGTAAAAGGGGGCTAACAAAGTATCAGAGAAACAGATGGACTACAGTCTGTAACTGTAGAACTACAAAGTGCACCTATATATTATATTCTCTGCTCATTTTGCTCTTGTGTTATTGTTTTGCTATCCGGTGTGGTCCAGAGGAGGATGGGCTCCCCTTTTTGAGTCTTGGTTCCTCTCAAGGTTTCTTCCTTGCCACTTTCTCCATTAGCAACGTTCATGGGGGCTCAGACCCCCACCTGTTATAAAAAGCGCTATATAAATAAACTTTGCCTTGACCTGACCTGATAGTGGCTAAAGGCAGCATGTGTTGCTCAAAATGTACTCAGCATTAGAAGTGTTTTTATAGATGTGCAGCTTACCCATTTATACCCCCCCCCCATGATAGATATTGGATTTAGAACTGTATGCTGGTCTGGATGGTCCCCTTCTTTTTTTGGCTGTGAGAACATGACGTCCATTATTTCCATAAACGATCTGAAAAGTTGACTCATCAGACCATAATACACGTTTAGACTGAGCATCAGTTCGTTTCAGATGAGCTTGAGCCCAGAGAAGTTGGCGGCGTTTCTGGACGTTGTTGATTGTGTCTTCCACTGTGCAGAGTACAGTCTGTGGGTTCAGCATCTGACAGTGTTCATTACCAATGATTTGACCAAGTATTCCTGAGGCCGTGCAGCCATAAGTTATTGATAGATTTCTCTGAATTCCCTGAATCTTTTGATGATAATGTGGCAGCTACCACTTTCAGAAGTGGGTTTAGAGGTGTGGTGTGCAGAGCTGGGCCAGACGCCCCCCCCCCTCTGTTAAAGGGGTGTTTAATGTTGTTGTTTAATGCTGTTAATGTTGTTCCTTGGTTTCAAGTGTTTGTGTTTATTGTGTTATTTTGTGTCGGGCTGTGGGTGAAATAGTGGGGGTTATTTATTTACCTCAGAGTGAAGAGTTATGGCTAGAAATGACCTGCCTGCTATCCCCGGCTGTTTATCATGTGCCTTTCTGCTGCTGTAAATAAAAGGACACTTCTTGTGGCAGAAATAATGGCCTCTCCTCCATCTAGTTCAACAACGACACAATATTATGCACTGTAGAGGATGAAATAGCTACAATCCTTGCAGTTGCTCACAGAAGAACATTGTTCTCAAACTTTTGGATTGTTCACTGATGTATTTTTGCAATGGCGATATATATATATATATATATATTTTTTTTTTAAATTCATAGCACACATAGTGCACCGTGTATGGAGCAGTCAGCCATTTGAGATTCCTCCTTAAGATTTTATGAGCTCTGATCTTATAGATGTTTAATATTGTTTGTGTTCAGTTTTCAGCTCTTTACCTGCTTGTTTTATGGTAAAAATTGGCCCCATGCTTTTGTTATTGCTGGTGACCTCTAAGGCTGAATGAATGTTGAATGGATTTGAGTGTGAATGGTTCTCCGGTCTCACTTTCACTTCTCTTTCTCCAGATGGTGAATTCTTCTTTCTTGACCATGAAACCAAAATATCCAAAGTGGCTCCGGAGAGCTGGAAAAAAGTGCCTACCTCTACATTCATCCTCTACTTCCGGATCAAATTCTTCGTCAGTGATACCACGCTCCTTCTGTAAGGCTTCCCTTTATTTCCAAATTTGCATCCCATCCTGTTTGCTCCTGTTTTTCCTTGTGAAAAAGGGTTTTTGATCATTTGTCTCAAGATAAATCATAAAATACTTACTACTTAGCTTCAGTACGCTTAAAGTGACCACATTAAAGCTAATGTAGCTAACAGTTAAGCCAATACAGGGGTCGGCAACTCAAATGTTAAGAAGAGCCATTTTGCCCTTTCAACAAAAATCAAACCAGCTTTGGAGCCACAATATTTTATGTCCATTTTTTAGCAATGTTCTACCATCTTGGCTGTAAATATGTCTCAGTATGTGCTGAGGTACTAGTATATGCCAAAAAACATAATATAAGCAAAAATGCTGACTTTATGGAGTGATTATAAACACAAATAAGTCCATTTGTCTCCAAATTATCGATGTTTGTGTTAAATTTCTCTCTTTGTCTTTTCATTACTACCAGCTAGGCGAGACTGTTGTCTGTGTTGCTATGGTGACCAGCAGTCTGCGCTGATCTTCAGGGTTAAAGGGTGAATTAGCAGTTCTACATTAACTCCAGAGTTTAAGACCATTTATTGTTAAACTGTGTTGAACGATCAGCAGAGCTTTATTTCACTGTTATCTATAAACATGGACCACAGTACAGACAGAGTTCAGGCTGTGGGTGCTGCTCCTGTTTTCAGTGAGCACTGAATGAACAGCATGGATTTCACCCAAAGCCAAACACAGCAGCACTACTGTAGTTACACTGTCAGCCCCAAATGAGGAAGGGGAGCTTCAGTGGAGTTGATTCGGTGGATTTGCAGCAAAAATATAGTGGCCATAGGCACTTTACACCATTCAGTCACAGTGTTAAAACCCCCTTCTTTCTACACTCACTGTCCATTTTATCAGCTCCACTGACCATATAGTCTCACTTCGTAGTTCTACAGTTACAGACTGTAGTCCATCTGTTTCTCTGATACTTTGTTACCCTGTTCTTCAATGGTCAGGACCCCCACAGAGCAGGTTCTATTTGGGTCATTCTCAGCACTGCAGTGATACTGACGTGGTGGTGGTGTGTTAGTGTGTGTTGCGCTGGTGTGAGTGGATCAGACACAGCAGTGCTGTATGGCGGCTTTGAAACTTATCATTCAGTACCTGCATAGAACAACAAAGCTGAGTTATTCTCTGACCTGTCCGCAGCCACTGGCCATTTAAGGGGTAAATTCCAATGCATATTAACACCCTAAATGGTCAGGAGATGCCGGCAGGTCCAGGCTTCCACACTCACTAACTCAATAAGGCCCCATATCATCACTATCGAAAGAAAAACATCTCAATTTTTCCATTTTTTCTGCATCATTTCAACATGGGAGCTGTCCTTAACATTGTGTTTCACAATGACGGGACCATCAGAAATGCTCCAAAATCTCTTGGAATAAAACATCTTTGCATTAACTTACATTAAAAGTTAAGGATTTTTTTCCTTCTCCTGCAAAGTTACTATTTTAGAGAAATGTTTTTCCTTTGGACAGCAACGATAAACTACATTATTCTTGTATTTTATTTTATTTTTTTGAGGTCCACTTATTTGTTTTTTTTTTACCAAAAACTTCAACTTAAAACTTCATCTTAATTCATTTCTACTTGACCACTTTCCAACCTCGCTTTATCAATTAGAATTAAACGGGCTGGGCCTTTAAGACTGATATGTGTAGATGAGCTCTGTTCTTATTGGCTGCTCTATATTTTGCCTCATTGAGGAGCTAGTCTGTGTGAGTGGGTGGAGCCAAACTGCTGTACGCTAAATAAGCAGACCTCTGTAAATGTGTTGGCTTTAATGACATCACAAAAACAATACATTCAAAGTGCAGCTGAGTTTCAGTTCATGGACTGTGTGCTCTATTAATATTTTTAATCCCTCGATGTTTTGAGAGTTTAATAATCAAACTATTTTATTCCAAAAAAGTGAAAAAAAAAATCTGTTTTCAATGATATGGGCCCTTTAAGAATATTTGTTTTGTATTTAGTTTGTTTTCCATTCCATGTAGCTACTGAATAATAATCATTAGGATGTGATACATCTGGGAGTTTAAAGGGTTGATGTCATGAGATTTTATTGAAAAACTATAATTGAACTGTTCATTAACAGATAAATGACAATAAATATTAGAAATATTATTATAGAATCAATTATATTCAGCTTTGACTTCACTTTACATTTATTTTCAGTATTAAAAACAGCTGATAGTAAACATGCTACTCAATTTGAAGTTAAAAATAAAGCCTGTCTTGCTGTGTATCTGTAAGGGCAGATACACAGTGCCATGGTGCCATAAGTACAGGGAACTCCAATTCCCAGAAGCTCTCAGGTTGATTAGGCCCAACCTGACACACCTGTGGACTCCTCTACTTAAGGCTGTGGCAAACAGCAGCCCTTTGTCACACCTTTGGGGTGTGACCGGTACGGTACTTAGCCCAGGTGAGTATTTAAACAAAAAGAAAAGTAAAGAAAAGAAAAGAGGGCTGGAAAAAGAGAAATTGCCCCAAAACTACTTAAAAGCCAAAAAGAAGGCCTGAACAAGAAGCGGCACCGAGCCAAACAAAGTGTTTGTTCCACAAAGAGCAAACAGGTGAAACATAAATGTGACCTTCCTCTCATAATTACAGAGGAAGTGTTTTTTGTTTTCTGATTATCTTTTATTTCAATTTTCAATCTCAGCCTTTATTTGAGCACGCTGCTTTCAGCGGCTCCCCTGTTTGCCTTTTTCCCACCGTTTTTTATTTTTCTTGCTTCCCAGTGGTGCAGGGGTAACTCCTTGGACCGGCAATCAGTCGGCGGCTTGAGCCTGGCTCTGAGCCACCTCAACTCCAACATGCACAATCACCAAATTCACACTCCATCACCTCATCAATTCATTTAAGACCCTTTCTCACGGGTTTTCCTCTCTGCACTCGGGTCCACCTCCCTGCCGTCCCGTAACAGTATCAGAGTTCGAGCACTTAGTATGAATATAAGAGGCTAGAATATCAATAAAAAGCGTGGCTGCCTTATGCCAATTATTTGTTTTTACTCAATAATCAGCAATAGAATGAACCACAATGAAAACTCTTGCATTTTCAGCTCACTGACACCCCAGACAAACAATTTCTGAAAAATGATCTGAGGTGACACTTGTGCATAAACAAAAATTTGTACTAAGTAAAATTTGATCAAAAATTAGCCAAATTAATAAGATATCAAAACTATGTTAGGATTTATGTCAAATAATGTCATCTGAGAAGCCCAGGGTCTCCTGAAAATAACAGCGTATGGCATGTGTGACTGTCTCATGTAAATACTTTATAACTGTAATTGAACATAATACCAAAACAATAACACCATACTGTCCTAGGGTTCCAAGAGTTGTAGGTGACAGTTAATCGTCACCTGAGACTTTCCCTTTCATTCCTTTGGCAGACACAAGCTGACCCGACACCAGTACTACCTGCAGCTGAGGAGGGACATCCTGGAGGAACGTCTGCCCTGTAACGAGGAGACCGGCCTGGTGCTCGCTGGGTTGGCCCTGCAGGCTGAGTTTGGGGACAGTATGCCTGAGGTAGTCCTGCGCTAATGAAGGATGATGCTCCTCAGCCTCCCTGAGCTCCTTTATAACCCAGTCACGTCTCTGCAGGGCCGTCTGGACTATGATTTATCGCTCTGGCTCTGGGAGCCGTAAACTGAAATTTAATTACATAAAAGGAAGAGATAAAGATAGACGGTCATAAAGCACGACACAGGAACTTAATTATGCGCAGAGTTGTTATGATGTCATTTTCTGGTGCACCATTTAACACATTGCTGCCTGATTTACTGACTTTAGCATGAATCTTAAAAGGGAACAACACTGATTTTTCAAAATTCCTGCATAATTCAGTGGTTGAGACAAACTCGATGAGACAAAGTGGTTTGATTGTTGAGACTCAGATTTCTACTGAAAATCTGAAAAGTTTTCTTCACAGCGCCCTGCATGTATCCCTCCACCATGAATGGAGTTTAAGTTCTCTAAACTATCATAAAACAGTGTCTCAGTCATCAGGCAGTGAATTCATAACCATTTCATGTAGGAACTTTCTGTGAGGGAGCTTTTAGAGGTGGATGTCTGGTTCCTATCACCACCACCAATTTATGGGTTTAATCAGGCTTTTCAGAACATTCAGCGTATTAAATTGTCATGCAGAATGGCTGGGTTAGAGAATGTCTGCTGGTCTACTACATTTTAATTTTTATATTAATGACACTGAAATGTCTTTTCTGAAGGTTTATGGGAAGAACTACTACCGCCCTGAGCACTACGTCTCCAAGAGCACACTGGAGAAAATGGCCTTGCCTTGCCTGAAAGAGGAGTTGCTGCGGCTGCACGCCAACTCTGTGAACATGGTCGCTGAGGAGTCTGAGCTGGAGTTCCTCAAGGTCAACATTTCACTTCCATCTATTGATCTATCAGCATGATTTATTTTGAAAAGGAGAGCAAAGAGACTTCTCAGAGTCTGCTTTTATAATATACAGTACTGTGCAAAAGTCAGAGACCACCCTTCATTTAATTTTCAGTCAAAACAGCCTTTAAATACACGTTTTTCATTTTTCAGCATTAAAAAAAACAAAGATTTTTAACAGAAAATCCCACAGAAGCCTCAACAGCTAAATCTACTCTCAGCTGTGTGAGTCAGTGAGTCTCTCTCTCTCTGTTTATTCCAGCTTCCATTCTGTTCAGGAGACTCACTTTCAGCTCCTCGAAGAATCTGCAGACACACCTCCAAAGTTCAGTCTTAGAAGCTGGTTGATCATTTTCTGAAGTAATCAAACACATTCAGTGGTGTTGAGGTCTGGACTCTGGGGTGGTCAGTCCATCGTTCAGCTTCTTTGTTTGTGTCCGTCTCCTTTTCTCAGTGAGGTTCTTCTTGATCAGCTACACATCCTTTCAGACCCACAGCGCTGAGTCGTCTTCTCACAGTGGAAGGATGGACAGAAACACCTGTGGATGTTTTCAGATCTGATCAGCTTGATTTTCTCCTCTCTCTCAGAGATGAAAGCTTTAAGTGCTGTTTATCTGAGGGGGGCAGTTTTGGGGTCGACCAGCTCTTCTAGGTGGTTGTTAGGAGCCACATTTTCTGTGGAGCTTTTAATCAGTTTTTGAACTGCAGTTTTGGAAACTCCTGTTTTTTTTACTTGACTTTCTCTTTCATGATTAGTGGATTATCTTACATCTAATCTCCTCACAAATATCTCTTAAAAAATTAATGACTTGTACTTAATGGCTGTTTTGACTGGGTATCAATGAAGGGTCTCTAACTTTTTTACAGTAGTTAATTATATATTCTATACTGATTTGAATTAAATGTGATTAATTTATTGGTCAGGACTTCAGGAGCTGGACTCAATGCCTTCCACGTTAGATTAACAACCAACAAAATTATGAAGTGATAGAGAATGTGACAACCAATCAAACTTTGATTTACAGTGGATGCCATCATGAATAAAAATACCACTCTAGTCCTTCTGGAGGTTCTAGATACTGTGAATAAGAGCCATAGTCTAAGCAGGTTTGGGTTAATTGTTAGGAATGTAAAACAGTGGTGGCAGCTCTGTCAGAACTCTTTACTGAAAGAGTGACTGTAAAACTGATACATACAAGCTCAGATATACATTAATACCTGTTACAAGCTTCAGATAAAACATGCTTCAAATGTCCATGTTTAATCATGAACAGTCAAAAAGTGTGCATGTAAATCATAATTAGTAACTCACCCATAGGGGAGTCAGCATCAATTAGCATTATTAATGATGTTTATAACTTTAATGAGCTCAGGTCAGTTTCAGATGCAGTGCTTTGAGTTGGGTCGGGCTCAGACAAAGTTCTCCGGTTATAATTAAGTTCAGACAAGAATTTCAGGTCCAGTTTAAGCTCTAGCACAGGTGTCACGGGCACAGTTCCAGTTTCCTGTTTCCTCTTCAGTCTGTTTGGCTTTGGCAGCCTGTTCTTACAGCATGTTCCACCTCTGCAGGCCATCCAGCAGCTTCCGGAGTACGGCGTTCTGTTTCACCGTGTGGCCCGCGAGAAGAAGACCCTCACCGGAGAGCTGCTCCTGGGGGTGTGTGCCAAAGGAGTCATTGTGTATGAAGTCAAAAATAACTCCCGCTCCGCCAGCCTTAGGTTCCACTGGAGAGAGACCGTCAATATCTTTGCAGCGGTGAGTCTGAACCGAGAGAAAGAGTGACGCTCAAGAAGCTTTAAAGCGTTGACAAGGATGTGGTGCTTTATGTAAATCATTCACTGAGAAGAACCTGATCTATTTTTGATCTATTATGGAATAGAAGACTTAGCATACACCAATAAATGACTTCTCTACGGTACAACTTGGAGTAAAATCTAATTGACACAGTTTCCCCCAACGTACCCCAAACATAGTCGACCCAAGACGTGTTTCGTGTCTAAATTTTGCTTCTTTAGTTTTAGCCTGCTGAAAAACGCAGCACAGACCAGCATGAATTCCAAGCTGGTTTGATGCTGGTTCAGGGGATCACCTGGCAAGGTCATGCTGGTTGACCAGCATACCAGTATCCAAAACACAACATATCACTGCTGTTGGGACAAAACCTCATATCTCCATTTTTATCATTTTTCATTTTTTGATATAATTTGGAAAAAGGCAGTTGCCTTTCATGTTGCGTCAAAATTTCATGGATGCATGGACCAACATAAATGGTCCAAAATTACTTAGAAAAAAATACTTCTCCATTTACTTCCATTCAAAGTTAAGAACATTTTCCTTGTTCTGTAAAGTGACTTTTTTGGAGATACGAGGTTTTGTTCCAACAGCAGCGATATGCTGGTTTTGCTGGTGACCAGCCATGCTGGTTTTTCTAACAGGGAATTAAGGAAGCTTGTATCCCACCAATTAGCATCATGCCCTAATCCTCATACCCTCACTATAAAGGTGTGTTATTCAGTCTCTTTAATAGTCTTGATGATGTGGTTTCTGACACTGTATGACTCACTGTTATCTATAAACGTGGACCAAAGTACATTAACATAGCTAACAACAGTACCAGCCTTTGTCCAGACTTGTGTTCATTTTTATGGAAAACAAAACATCATACTGAACAAATCAGTGACTTATGAACTCACACAAGGCACTGTGTGATGATTTGATGATGTGATGCAATTTGCGTAATGCTATTTACATTCTATAGCATATAACAGCACCAGACAAGCATATGTTGTGTTTTGGATGCTGGTATGCTGGTCAACTGTCATGACCATGACGGGTGACCAGCTAAACCAGCACCAGACAAGCATAAACCTGTTTGTTTTCGCCTTTAGCCCCAGTGCTAAAACTAATGAGCAAACTTCAGACACCAAACAAGTCTTGGCTGAACAAACGGAAAAACAGTGTAAATTGTTTTTCATGTATTAAAAACAAAAGAACATGGCTGGAACAGATAAAAATACAGTTAGCTGATGTGTAGCTAGTTAGCTTTTCAATGCAATACAAATTAGCTAGAAACAAGTAGGACTCCACCTACATGCTGTCTCTGAAATATGCCTCTTGCTAAATCCTTCTGAAAGGTCATAGCTGGAAAACTGTACCGCTTGGTTCTTCTTCCCACAGAGACGTAGATTCGTCATAGAGAGCAGCGTCAGTAAGAAGAAGCACACTTTCCTCATGGAGAAGTCCAAAATCGCCAGGTACCTCTGCAAGCTGTGCATGGCTCAACACAAGTTCCATAAGGAGATGAGCTCTCGCCAGCTCAGCCACAGTCTGGCCTCAGGTACGTCCATCTTTTCCTTCTCTTGACCTGCTTTCCATATGATTCCCCAGTCTTACTCCTCCTGTACCGTAACACTGCTTCTGCTATTCCGAGGGCCTTTAGGTGAAGCCAAATTCAGTAAAAATATCATGTATTTGTAATATTTAATGTGGCAGATCTCTCACTACTTCAGTCATAGATAGTCGAAATGCTATCAGTGGAAGTTTGAGATTATTTTCATTCTTCAAAAATGATGGTGTAGCTAACACTGACTGAAAATAACTGGAGTTATAGAGGGGATCTGTTGTGCTTTTCCTTTTTTCCAGCACTAAAAAGGGTTCTGCTTTGATGTCAAGCTTGTAACAATAGAAGAACCCTTTTTAGTGCATTTTCAAAAATTTTCTACATAGAACCATATACAACACATTCTTCATCAATCTGAAAAACTATTTCACCATGCAGAGAACCATTTCAGCATGTGAACGATTCTTTGATCTATACAGAACCAAGTTTGTACAAAAAAAACTTTGAAGAACCATCTTTTTAAGAATATACATTGACATTTTCCAACCCTTCTTCATCCCTTACACTCTTAAAGATGGTTCTTCAAGGGTTCTTTAGTAAACCTTAGTAAAGGCTCTGTATAGAACCATAAACACTAAAAGAATCCGTTGCATGATTAAAGGGTTCTTTGCATCGTGAAAGAGGCGTTCAGATTGGTGGAGAATGTGTTGTAAATGGTTTTATACAGAACCTTTTTCAAAGAACACTTTTTGATACTACATGAAGGATGATTGCAAAAACACTCCTTATAACCTCAGTGGTGGGCGGGGCTAAACTGCTGTAGGCTGAATGGGCAGATATATGTAAATGTATTGGTTTTTGTGACATCACAAAACAGGCTGTCAGGCTGCAGTTTGGTTTGCATATACAGGCTGGTCCATATGGACTGGTAGATTAATACTGAAGAGAAGTTAAAGGGGATCTTAAATTCTTTTCCAGTTCCTCTCTTTCCTTTAGTGTGTTGCAGCTTTTTCTGCATGTAAATGTTCTGCAAAGTCCCAAAGCTCAGCGTTCCCTCCAGAGGGAGAAACTCTCTCCCACTGAACCCACTTTTCTCAGCTGCCTGAAACGCCTTGTTGGAATTCCAGCCCTTTTCCTTTGTTACAAGATGACATCATCTCGTAACACAGTCCTTACTGCCCGCCTACCGGCGAGCTCTGCCCCCTCACACAGCACACAGCGGCTACTGGAGGAGGCAGAGTGTGTTCAGTACTGTAGTGTGTGGAGAGACGCTGACCGGACTTTCAGGATCCACTCTGGATCAAACAGATCCGGCAGAACCGATGCCGCTGGAGTTACAGCTGCTCAGGGGCGGAACCTGGAGGGGTGGAACCACTCTGGAGGAGACCAATCAGAACAGAGTGGGCAAGCTGACCAATCAGAGCACACTGGGCTCATCAGGGGGTGGGGCTTAAAGACACAGGAGCTCTAACAGAGCGTTTCAGACAGAGGGTGAATAGAGATGAACAGTGTGAGGACATTTTGTGTTTTTGGAACACTAAAGCTGTAAATCTATTCTAGTAGAGCAAAAATAAAATTATCAACACTGAAAATGAGAATAAAAGGGCCACTTTAAAGCCAACTTTCCTGCATTACCTTTCGTTATTGCATCTACCAATCTACTAAACATTGCTGATGTCTTGTGTTCTTCAGAGGAGAGTATTGTGCAGTACGCAGCGGTGTGCCGGGCTCAGAACAATATCTCCTGCTCTGAGGGGGCTCTGAACAATAGCGGGCTCAATACCACCCACCAGGAGTCCATGAGCAAGCTGTGTGATGACATCGCCAGCCGCATCGAGAACAGAATCAAGCAGCACAGAGATTTACTGGAGCGGTCCAGGTGAGAGAACCACACTCACTAATGAGTAACAATAAAGACAAGACAAAAATGTCACATTTTCTCATTTAATTTTTTAGTTGAATTATGACATTTGTGTGGTTTTATGTATCAAAAAAGTCATTATTCATTTCTTCACTCTTAAGAAAGATGGTTCTTAAAGGGTTCTTTAGTAAATACAAAGCTTTTATATAGAACGCTGAACACTCAAAGAACTATTTGTATGCTTAAATGGTTCTTTGCATGGTGACAAAAAGGGTTCTGCTTTGATGTCAAGCTTGTAATAATAGAAGAACCCTTTCTGATGCTATATAGAACCACTTTCAGAAAGATTCTACATAGAACCACATATCCCTCTTTAACAGTGTTTGCATCCTACTTGGCTTTTCTGTGATATTAACATGCTTTTATTTTTCTAGTGCCACAAGTCCAGTTTTCCAGAGATCTGCTGCTGGGTCTCAGAAGCGAAACTCAGACGTTCCTTCCTTGTCTTCTGCCTTAAGAGGTATGGACAGAGACGCTGTTTACACCTGGTCACTTTGTGCGTCTTGGCAAAGGCAAAGCCCCTCCTAGTACAACACAACCAAAACCCCTCCCAGTACAACTGACTCCTCCCAGTACCACCAAAACCCCCCAATACAATTTAAGCCCCTCCCAGTACAACCAAAGCTCCTCCTAGTACAACCAAAAACCCTCCCAGTACAACCAAAACTCCTCCCAGTACATTCAAAACACCTCTCAGTACAACAGAAACTCCTCCCCGAACAACTCAAACTCCTTCCAGTACAACTAAACCCCTCCCAACACAACCAAAGCCCCTCCCAGTACAACCAAAACTCCTCCCAGTACTAAAACTCATGCATAATGCTAACTGTAGTTACATCTACAAGCTGTGAGCTGCATTAGTCTCATAGCTCCAATGTAAAGGAGTAAACTTTGTAATTCAACACCAGTTTTGCTGCAGCTTCAGTGTTTCTCCTGCAGCAGAACAATGCTGCCTCTTACAGAGTGTCTTTCTTTATCCTCCAAACCTGAAGACGCTCCATCGAGTCCCAGAGCGCCCGAGAGGGAAATAGTCTGTGTGACTTTGAAGAAGGATCCCAAACTAGGCCTCGGTAAGGAACTGAAACCTACACCTTCCACCGTTTTCTGTCTCTCTAAGCAGCTCATAAGCGTAACATGGGATTCTGTCATTTTGTGAAGTAAAAGTGTCTGTTTTAAATGTGAGGTATTGTAATCGTTGGAGAAGACAGTACCAACAGGCTGGATCTCGGAATCTTTATCGCATCTGTTGTGCCGGGAGGACCAGCGGACCGAGACGGACGCATCAGACCAGGTCAGAGCCCGTTTATGTGGATTCCTCAAAATCCGCAAAATGCTAGAGGGCGCCAGAGAGAGCCCACAGTGAGTAGGGGTGGATGGAGCTAAATAAATAAAGTAATAATCAGAAAGCAGAAGAATGTATAACATTAAAAAAATCAATGAAAACTCTACAGCATATTTCCACTTTTCTACAGAATGCAGGTTTAGGGCAGTAGGATGCTAGCATTGCTGCTAATGAGTGCCAATTGGTATTACTGTACATGAGACACAGTTAGAAAGTCCTGTAACTGAGTGTTGACATATGTTCTGCTGTTCTGTGTTGAGTAAATTAGTGCACAAAAATTATGCAAAAGCTCCTTAGAAACCTATTCATTTTGGACTCGCCCAATTTGGAGCGCCCTCTAGTGTCAGACCATCCCAGAAGACATTCGACTGGCAGTTCTCCTCCCAACCCATTCTCACACCAGGTCTACCCCAAAAAGTGCCTCTCTTTCTCTGTTTTTGGCAGCAGAATGTCAAAATGATTGATTATATTTGAAACAATAACCATTATTTTGGAACAAACTGGTGAATTGACTCACTGAATCACTGCTTTCTTCCACACGTTTCTGCATTCTAATGAATACCTGATCAATCTGAATAGGAGAAAACCATAGTGCATATCAGAAAAAACTTTAAATGCAAGTAGAAACAGCGCCCTCCTGTGGTCCTCCAGGTGGCCGGTTGATCTCTCTGAATCAGACCAGTCTGGAGGGCATGACCTTCAGCGAAGCAGCAGAAATCCTGCAGAACAGCCCCAACCAGGTGGAGCTCATCATCTCGCAGACGAAAGGTACAGATAGAATTCAGCAGCAAATCATCAGAACATTCGCCTCAAGCTGTGTGGAGATGTTCAGATAAGAAAAGATGGTTCTTTAAGGGTTCTTTAGTAAAGAAAATGGTTCTATATAGAACCATGAACACTCAAAGAACCACTTGCATGATTTAAAGGGTTCTTTGCATCATAAAAGTGTTAGAATGTGCTGAAAATAGTTCTATATGGCACCTAACAGCATTAGACAATTACAGCTTCGAGACGTCTGCAGTAAGAATTTATTGGCTTTTTACAGTGTTGTGGTTTTGTGTTGGTCCGTTCCTCTCAGAAACCCATCCTCATTTCCCCAGGATTACGAAGCTTCCTCTGATAGACTCGCAATTTGGAAATCCTCCATAATTTTAAAAATTGATTGTCAAAAGTCAGGGGAACGGCTGGGCCATGTGAGCGCCAGTCTGCAGTTGTTTTGGCTGTATGTTTGGGTTCGTTGTCTTGTTGAAATGTTCATCTTCTCCCCAGATTCAGTTTCTTGGCCTATGAGACTAAATTCTCCCCTAATTTCACCTAAAACATCGCTCCATTCATGTTTCTTCCAATCGTGTGTGATGCTTCAGTACTGTTTACTGCAGCTCCACTTCATGATGCTCCCACCTTCATACTTCACTGTGGGAGTTCCTGAAATTATACACTCAACTCTTCTTTCTCCAAACATTTTCTACAAACAGTTATTGCCAGAGTTCTGTTTTTGTTTAGTCTGATCAGAGAACGTTGCTCCACAGGAGTTCTGAATAGGCTAAATGCAGGGCTGGGATAGCTACTGAAAAATGAGTAGGTATCTACTTTTTAGCTACTTTCCCAAAATTTGTAGCTAGCTACAATTTAGCTACTAAATTAGTGCACTACTTTTTAGCTACTTTCAAAGCGCGACTGTCAATGTTTGTGAATCTCCACCTGACACACCAAACAAGCCCAACGGACAGTGTAAACAAGACACCGCATTTAATCTGTGCCAGAAAGAAACATGCAGTTGAAAAGCTACAAATATACAAAAAGATCACCAAAAAGTAGGTTTAAGTGTAACCAACAATCAAGCAGCTGGTTTCCTGATACGTTTAATCTGCAACGAGAAACTGCCAAGCACTAAGTCACGAAGCTGAAGTCAGTTTCTCATTCGCCAGCTTCTCGTTCAAATTGTCCCGTTCCACCTTAAATGGTGCAGCAGTACATTTCTGGAGCATTAGGCACCATTTAAGATGGAACGGGACAATTTGAGCAAGAAGCTGGCGAATGAGAAGCGATTTCAGACTCATAATAAGTCAAACGTTGAGAGACGTTTTACAAGAAACTGTTCTACTTTTGAGGAAATGTTTCCTGCCAGAGATGCGAGAAAAGCAGCTGTAGCTGAGCTAAAGCTTAACGCAGAGCAAAGTGAGTCTGTGTTGGTATTTATATTATATTTTTAGCCTGTACTGATACATTAGCACATACCTACTGACAGCCATGATGGTAAAACGGACATAAAAGTGTTGTGGCTCCCAAGGTGGTTTCATCTTTGTTGAAAGGACAAAATGGCTCTTCTTAACATTTCAGGTGTGACCCCTGAGTTAAGCCTACTACCAAGGGGTGATCAGCGTGTGACCGTTTCCTCGAACTGTCCTCCGCTCAGTCAGGATTGCACAGTCGCCACCAGCCCAGTTAACGGCCGCGTTCTATGGTTCACATTTTGTGCAGATTGACTGAAGCCTGTGGTGAAATTGTAGTGAAAATTATCACTATAGCTACACAAACATTTGTAGGCGCTACAGCTGTTAGCTACGAAAATGTGTAGTAAGCTACAAACGGTAGCGCGCTACTTAGCTACTCCCCCATCCCTGCCTAAATGCTCATGCGCCTCTCTGGCTTGTTTTTCATCAGAGGAGTTTAGCATGGAGTGAAGGAGCGGAGATGATTGCAGTGCAGTTTATTGCTTGTTGTTCTCTGTGTATCTATTGTTCTGCTGTTTTCAGGTCGTCCTACATCTCTAAGATAAGATAATCCTTTATTAGTCCCACAACGGGGAGATTCTCAGTGTTACAGCAGCAAAGGGAGAGCAGGACACTCAAAAAAGAAATAACAAGAAGAGAATTAACCAGCAAATAATTAACCTTATTAATTAACAGGGTTTTATAGTTTGTTACTTGTTACTATATAGACAATATATACAATACTAAAAGTATAAAATAAGATAAAAATAGAAACTCTATCCTTCACAAAAAAATTAACAATATAAAGAATTATAAATAAATAAAAAGTTAAGATATTTACATTGTAAGGATATTTTGCCCAAAATTCGCATGGAGTTTTGCGCATGAGGTACTGGTTTATATCACACATATGGGATGGTGAGGAGTAACAATATAAACAATTTGAGTCACTGCTGGCTTCTCACATCTGTTTGTGGATAACTAGTTTGGGTTCCATACACTTGACACCTGTAGACTCTTAAAAAATGGGTTTTTTAGTAAAGACAGTAGATCTATATAGAACCACGAACACTCCAAGAACTATTTGCCTGCTTAAATGGTTCTCTGCATGGTGAAATTGTTCTTCAGATTGATGGAGAGTTTGCTGTATATGGTTCTACATAGAACCCTGTTTCTTGATAGCATTAAAAATGTTTATTCTATTGTTACAAGCTTGACATCATAACAATAGCAGAACCCTTTTTGGTGCTGTATAGAACCATATACAACACGTTCTCCATCAATCTGAGAACCATTTCACTATGTAAAGAATTTAATCATGCACATAGCTCTTTGAGTGTTCATGGTTCTGTATGGAACCACTGTCTTGACTAAAGAACCTTTGAAGAAACATCTTCAAGTGTGTATATTATCAAAGCGGTTGTTGTGTGAGTGTCTGTGTCTGTGTGTGTGTGTGTGTGTGTGTGTGTGTGTAAGGTCTTTAGGGTTCTGTAGCGTTTTCCACTGGAGTGTTGTTTAATAATGTTCTCCATGAGATCTTCAGGAAGCTCCTTCACCTCCACTATGATTGTGAAATCCTCCCAACTAATCTAAACATCTGCCTCATAAGAGATGTGAGGCAAACTGACTTTACTGATCATCTGAGCGTTTGCGTCTGCAGTGAAGAAGCCTGTGAGCAGCCTGACAGAGAGGAGCTACGAGTCTCAGACCACGCTGCGCGCCGACAGTCGGGCGGAGGACGGCCTGGACGAGCTGGTGTCAGTGATGATGACGCCGAAGGCCGGCAGCAGGCTCCACGTACCTGACGTGCGCATCCTCAATGCACAGGTGCTTCACAGCACTTTTTTAGTTCCCTTTCACAGCTGGTGATAAAGGAGATTTCCACCAAAATGACTTCATTATGTAGTGGTTGAGATGTAAAACTGACAGGGTTCAAAATACAGGGAGTTCCAGGGGGTCCAGGACCTCCTAATTGTCCTCTTGGACCCCCTGAATGTCTCAAAATCAAAATTCTGGGGGTCCCTGAAAATAAACTTATTCTGCTGTATGTTAGAAGAAAACAGACACTCAAATACAAATTCAGAGAAGCTCATTGCTTAACTAACTAGAGATGCAGCATTGCTCTGCCTCAGGGTGGTGCTGTACCAGACTGGCTCACTCAGTTGGTCCTTCATGGCCTAGCAACTGTAACTATGCCTGGGATACCCCTGAAAATCTTTGCAGTGTGCTATAGCATATTTGTAAATCTGAAAACTTGCCAAAGCTCTGTGAAAAGAGTGAACTATTACTCATTTCTAGAAAAAAGGGGGTAACACTTTATTTGGACAGTCCACTTTAGATATATTGTAGATAATTTACTTTCAAGTTACATTCAACTAAACATCTACTAAATTAACCTTTATTTAACTGTAAACCTGCTCTAATCCTAACCCTAACCTCAACCCAAAACCTCAACCCAACCCTCACCCTGGTCCAAATCCTAACACTCACCCCACCACTGTTTAGAATCAACTGAGTTTCAGTAGATGGTTTGTTAACACTTTGAACATCTGTAGATCATCTATAGGGTCTATAGTGGACTATCCAAATGAAGTGAGACCAATAAAGGATTTTCAAAAAGAAGAACTGTAAACCAAACATTTGGTGCCATCAGCACTTCCACCGCTATGGCGAGTATGTCTCCAGACCACAGTGTACTCTGTTCAGTAACTTTCTGTGAAGGAGTTTTTTGGCGGTATTAAACTCCTCAGACGAAATGAGCAAGGCATTAGGCTAACAGCTGGCTCAGGCCTTAGGCTAACAGCTGGCTCAGGCCTTAGCTCAGGTGTTAGCTCAGGCCGAGGCCGTCCCCCTAGAGGGGGAGAGAACCTCTGGCTACGTCTGCACTCCTCACGTCTGTGGCCCCCAACTCTGAGCTCTTCCAAGAGACCTTCTACACTCCTTCACACCTTCAAGATGGTTCTTCGAGGGTTCTTTAGTAAAGAAAATGGTTCTATATAGAACCATGAACACACGAAGATCCCTTTGCCTCATTAAATGGTTCTCTGCATGGTGAAATGTGCTCTTCAGATTGATGGACACTGTGCTGCAGTTCTATATACAGTTCTATGTAGTACCAATCAGGGTCTTCTATTGTGTACAGGCTTGTATAATAACAATAGCAGAACCATTTGTGGTGCTATGTTGAACCATTTTGTAAAATGTTCTGTATAGAACCATATACAGCATATTCTCCATTAGTCTGAAGAACTCTCATCATCTTTAATCATGCAAAGGGTTCATTGAGTGTTCATGGTTTTATAAAGAACCATTTTCTTTACTAAAGAACTTTTAAAGACCATCATTTTTAAGAGGGTAGAATAAACTCTGTGAACACACTTAAAATGCTTAACATGTTAAAGTATATTTAATATCCATTCGTGGTGGAGGGATACAAGCAGGGCATCGTATGGCAAAATAGTCCCCAAAGAAAACATATTATTTCAGATTGTTTCAGATCCCTGGTTCCTATCACCACCACTGTAAAGGAATCTGAACCATTTCACACCAAACCACTCTGATTCACTGCGTTTACGTCTCACACACTGAATTATGGAGAAATTTGGAAAAATACCAAGTAAAGAAACATTTGGACCTCTTGTGTTACACTTGGCTTACAGACACTGTGTCCGTGTTTTAGGATGATTACTCCAGGTCGGCGTCTCTGATCAGCCTGAGACCGGAGGAGTTCAGCGTCCAGCTAAAAAAGATTTCTGGCAGTCTGGGCATCAGCATAGCAGTAAGTGAACAATATGTAATGTGTGTGTGTGTGTGTGTGTGTGTGTGTATAAATATAAAAATATATATATAAAACCTCGTACCTCCAATTTTGAAAATACCTGTTGTCCTTAACATTGTGTGTAAATTTCATGATGAATGGACCAAAAGAAACAACCCAAAATGACTTGGAAAAATGTCTGATTACATTGAGTTACATTAAAAGTAAAGTATGTTTTTTCCTTCTCCTGTAAAGTTACCATTTTGGAGATACAAGGTTTTCTTCCGACAACAGCGATATATATATAAGCAAATAACCTGTTACCATGAAATATTATATCTGTGTCCGTGTACTCAGACAACAACTGAAAACCTGTTAACTCAAAACAATTCATTGTAGAAGGGGAAGTGAAAAGTGCAAGGTAGCAGTTTAACACTATATGGAGTATATTTAAGCATATTGACTAGAGTTTGGTTTTTATTACCTGAAAGAGCCATGTATTTAGATTGTTCCCTGCATTTGTTCCTTTTTTAAAGTCCTACTCAGTTTAGAAGAACTCAAAGTTCCACTAAATCTGGCCTTCAGTGTGGAAGACAGTGGTTAGATGTTCACCCTTGGCACGGTAGGAACTGTCAGATTACACTGTGGCCTGATTCCAGTAGGGAAGGTCCATGGCACGAGGCTCCTTTGTGGCTATTTTGACATAATGCAGCTTCCAATGGTAGATAATGACATTCAGTTTGTGATATTTAATCTGCACAGTCATCTACCATGGACAGTAATGTGTAGGGGTGGGAGTGGCTACAGGCCCTACCATGTTATAATATGTAAGCCATAATATGGTTGTATTGCAATATTTAAAGATTTGTAATACTCTACATGGCCAAGAGTATGTGGACACATTTCCATCACACCTATCTCATATAGAAAAGAATATACGGACATACATTTTTGTATATTTGAAATACTTATGAAATACTTTACAGTCGATGATGAAAAACATTCCAAACTGTAAAATGTATTTAAGAATTTATTGCCATATTAAGCCAATATGTTTTAAAGTATATTTACTTAAAAATGTATGGGGAAGTATTACACATAGAAATGTATCATACAAAAATAAATGTATGTATTTATCAAATACATTTGAAAATGTATGAAAGTAGCCAAAATCCGGTCTAATGCACTTCACTGTTGTGTTATTGCAAATAACATCACAGCTATGATGTTGTTCATGATCTCACACAACCACTTGTGCTCTGTTGCATAATTATACATCGATCAGGCATAACATTCTGACCACCTCCTTGTTTCTACGCTCATTGTCCATTTTATCAGCTCCACTTACTATATAGGTGCACTTTGTAGTTCTACAGTTACAGACTGTAGTCCATCTGTTTCTCTGATACTTTGTTAGCCCCCTTTTACCCTGTTCTTCAGTGGTCAGGACCCCCATGGACCCTCACAGAGCAGGTACTATTTGGGTGGTGGATCATTCTCAGCACTGCAGTAACACTGACATGATGGTGGTGGTGTGTTAGTATGTGTTGTGCTGGTCTGAGTGGATCAGACACAGCAGTGCTGCTGGAGTTTAAACACCTCAGTGTCACTGCTGGACTGAGAATAGTCCACCAACCAAAAATATCCAGCCAACAGCGAGTGTGTAATCCACTAGACCATTCAGGTCCTGCATTTATACTATTTTATACTGTATTAATTTTTTCTCCCAGCCATAATAATTTCCCTGCGTTTACAACAGAACAGAATAACTTGCTGAGCTGGTAACAGGGAGCTTTCCTTGTCAGCGCTGTAGGGAAATCCCAACAGGTTCCTTTAATCTCTCTGACCTGAGGTTAATCAGCTTTAGAGGTCAGATGATGCTGTGTTTGGACCTGCTTGTATGATCTGTCTGAGACTTTGCTAAAGTTACAGTGCAGACAGTGCAAAGGCAGCACTGTTAACCCTTTAACCTTCTATTCCTGACCTTTGTAATCTGATTTCTCAAAGCTGTGTTGGAATTTCATTCACATTTATTCAAACATATCTAACAACGCTAAAAAATAGTTTTTGTCACAAGCTATCATTCTGCGAACGCAGACACATGATCAGGTATTTTCAGTACTGTGCAAAAGTCAGAGACCCTTCATTTATTTAATTTCCAGTCAAAACAGCCATTAAGTACAAGTTATTGATTTTTCAGGAGATATTTGTGAGGAGATTAGATATCAGATAATCCGCTTACATAACAGGAGTTTCAAAAACTGGAGTTCAAAAACTGATTAAAAGCTCCAGAGAAAATGTGGCTCCTAACAACCACCTGGAAGACCTGGGAGACCCCAAAACTGCCCCCGTCAGATAAACAGCACTTAAAGCTTTCATCTCTGAGAGAGAGGAGAAAATCAAGCTGATCAGATCTGAAAACATCCACAGGTGTTTCTGTCCATCCTTCCACTGTGAGAAGACGACTCAGCGCTGTGGGTCTGAAAGGATGTGTAGCTGTCAAGAAGAACCTCACTGAGAAAAGGAGACGGACACATCAAACAAAGAAGTTGAACGATGGACTGACCACCCCAGAGTCCAGACCTCAACATGGGGTTTTATTGTTCCTCTGATGAGCCAAATTAACAATAGACGTTTCCATGGCGATGTGGATTTCATTCTGAATGAGTCTCAGAATTCATAGAAGCAGCATGGAGCTTCTTTTACACAGTGATAGGAAACAATTCCACACACTGATTCATTTACTGACCAACTAGAGCACGCCTGCTCACCAACTACATTTAATGTGAACTTTAATCAGTTAAACGGGACAAACACTACAAACAGATCACCCACCGTGTGGTACATATGACCGTTAATCTGATCATAAAAATATAAAAGGTCTAAATATCCATATAATATCAGACCTGATGGAGTTTATATGCCATTTAGTGCATAAATTGACATAAATAAAGATGTTTTTGAACACACTGTGGGTGTTTGTGTTGAAGGGAGGGCTGAACTCAGGTCTGAGATCTGGAGGAGTTTACGTGAAGAGCCTGGCTCGTGGAGGAGCAGCAGACCGAGACGGCCGTATCCAGTCTGGTACGTTCTAAAAGAGCACGGTGTTCTAGCTTTTCAGGAGTTTCTGTGGATTTTGGAGTCACTTTGGGTCCCACAGATTCTGTTTCAGTTTTCCTGTTTGTTTTCCTTTTTTCTTGTTTTGTTTACTTTTCTTTCCACTTTAGCTCGGTCTGTTAGCCACACTCTTAAAAGAGAAGGTTCTTTAAGGGTTCTTTAGTAAAGAAAATGGTTCTATGAAGAACCATACACTCAAAGAACACTTTGCACGATTGAAGGGTTCTTTGCATCGTGAAAATGTTCTTATGTGCTGTATGTGATTCTACATACAACCTCTCTAAAAATGGTTCTATATAGCACCCAAAAGTGTTCTTCTATTGTTACGATTTTAAGCTTGTAACAATAGAAGAACCTTTCTGGGTGCTATAGGGAAGCCTTTTCAAAACATTCCCATACAGAACCATATACATTACATTCTCCATCAGTCTGAAGAACCATTTCACAATGCAAAGAAATCTTAAATCATGCAAAGTGTATGTCATGTGTATGGTTCTTCATAGAACCATTTTCTTTACTAAATTACCATCATTTTTAGTGTGCACTTTAGCTAGGTCCATTAGCTCGGCTCCCCGCCCCTCTATCCCATGATGCTCTCAAGCTGGAGTTTTCAGCCACTTATCAGAGGAAGTAATGCATGGAGACGACTGCTAAGCAGTGATTGGTTGACCTTCATGTCAATCCTTATTTGGTCAATTACCACCAACAAGATGATGAACATGGAATTAAAATGAGCCCAAAAAATAGGGGTATAAATGCACTGAGGGGAAATGAGAGGACTAATGAGAGGGCGGGGCTATAGACTACAGACAAGTGGAACAGATGACAATAGGGCAGGACCAGGGAGGAGACACAGACCAAAACAACAGCAAAAGCACATGGCAAGACACAGAGAAAGACAGAGCAGGACTGGATTCTACAAACACAATATTTTTTTCATTTGTGAATTTAACCTAATGAGAAACTGGACATTCTGTAAGATCCTCAGTTGTTTTGCGAAAATGGAATCTGCCATAATCACTCTCTCCGGATCTGTCGCTCACAGGTAATTATAGCTATTATATTATATTATTGTAGGGCTCTGATTGAATCCAGGGGCCGAATTACAGAAAACTCTTTTCTTTTTGTCTTAACTTAAGATCTGACAGGTCAGGATAAGATTTTTCACAAATTCATATTACTGAAGCAAATCTGATATTAATATAGGAATCTTATCTTACAGCATCTTTTCTTTTCTCAAGTTAGGAAATCTGAACCTACTCGATTGAAGTCGACAATCAACTGTCGTGTCTGTAACCTAGATGCACAGCTGAAACGTAAACATGTAATCAAGTTAGTTAGTCAGACAGCTAACGTTAGCTACCGTTACTGATGTAAAGAAAGTAAAATCAAACTAAAATATGATAAACTGTAAGTAGTGAATACTGTGAGAGCGTCCCCTGCTGTTTTTCAGAGCGTCGCCGCTCCCCAGTTTCAGTCTCCATTTCCCAAACGCTTTAGCCGAGCGCGCTAACGTTACTCCTCCTAATAAACAGACACACGTTCAGCTCCGTCTCCTCATTATTCACCACCATCACTGTAATATTTCATCATCAACATTAACACACAAAGGTAATCAGAGGGGCGGTGGAGATCGAGTCTGCAGCGTCTGGGGCTTTTAAACGCTGTAAGAACAAAAAAACAAGTCAAAGCTCCGTTTTCAGTGTAGATAAATGTGGCGTCATTATAGTGAAGTGAGCTGCCTGACACAGCATAAAACAATAGAAACAGACGTTTAAACAGAAGATAAGACGCTCTGGAGTTTATCTTAAAGTTAAGACAATATTTAGGATATTTTGGCCACTTAGGATGTTTCTGTAAAACCGTTTTCTTATCTGGAAATAAGAATATAGACTTCAGAATTGTTGTTCTGTAATGGCTTCTGTCCGAACTTCAGTCTTAACTGAAGTTGCCATGACAACAAAGCAGATCTCAGACTTAAGAATTTTCTGTAATACGGCTCCTGGTTCTCTATTAGTCCACAGTCCAATGATGCAGATGAGGTTCTACATGTTGGACTGTGTGACTCAGAGCTGCAGGACAGACTGTCTTTGTTTGTGTAACAGGTGACCGGCTTCTGGAGGTGGATGGAACCAGACTGGCGGGTTACTCAGATCAGCAGGCCGCTGAGTGCCTCGCCAAGACCGGAGAGGTGAGCTACATTCATTACACCAGCTCTACCATAAGCAGCCCCAGACTGTATATTCATCTACACTGCTCACTTACAGACTAGCCTCTGCCACAAATTAGGGCTGCGTGATAAATCAGATTTTATCATCATCATGATATTAGTTTCTGCAATAAACACATTGTTAAGGGCTGCAGTGGTGGAATTGGTCCCAAAAAGTTCATACAATTTTAAGAATCTCTTAAAATAAACATTTTATTTGAAGGCTACCTACATAGCGAGTTCATAACACATGCATAAGCAATGAATAGTGTATCCAAAAGGCAAAACTTGTAATTATGAACAGCCTATGCCAGTAATCATGAGGGATGTTGAAAAGTGAGGTAGGGTGAATCCTCACAGTCAGAGTAGAGAAAACATGAATGAACAAAACAAAATCAGGACAGACGACGGCAGAAAACCTGATGGCCAACATAGGTTCTACTACATGCTTGGAAAGGGAGGGGTGAGGGAGGGAGATTCAGCTGGTTGCAATCTGCCGTTTACCACTAGATGCCACTAATCTTACACACTGCACCTTTAAAGTGATAGACACTTGTTGTATTTATAACACTGTTCCAAAGCAAGATTCCCAACTAATGGACTTTATAAGGCAGAGGCCTACACACTTAAAAAAGATGGTTCTTCAAGGGTTCTTTAGTAATGACCATGGTTCTATTTAGATCCATAAGTTCTATATACACCCATTTCCATGCCTAAATGGTTCTTTGCATGGTAAAATTGTTCTTCAGATTGATGGAGAATGTGTTGTACATGGTTCTATATAGAAGCTTTTGGAAAATGGTTCTATACATTGTAACAAGCTCGGCATCATAACAGTAGAAGAACCCTTTTTGGTGCTATAGAGATCCATTTTCAAATAGCTTACATAGAACATCCAACATATTCTCCATCAATCTGAAGAAACACTTAATCACACAAAGAACCATTTAAGCATGAAATGGTTCTAAATAGAACCATTCCCTTTACTAAAGAACCCTTGAGGAACCATTGTAGTTAAGAACACTGTATATCAGTTCTCAGACGTGAGCAACTAACTCTGTTTATCATCTCTGCAGCCACACAGGCCTCCTTAATAGAACTGGTTCATCAGTTAAGTTCCATTGTGTTGGGAATTATGCTTTATAACAATGTTATAAACAAAACAAATGCCCTTTGCTTTAGTTTGAGGCTCCTTGTGTCAACACAGTGTCATTTACTGTGTAAAATGTCTTATGTTATTTTGCGATTACCGGACCAAGCTGTTTCAAAATATTTATATGTCGCTTTATAAATGTTTTATTCACTGCTTATGCATGTGTTATGAAGTCCCAATGTAGGTAGCCTTCGAATAAAGTGTTACTGCATGTTTTTTTAATTTGCTGTGTTGCTCCAGGTGGTGACTTTAGTGCTGGAGAGGGACGGCACCACTCGAGGCTCTCCAAGTCCTGAACCCCGCGATACGCTCACTGTCCAGACAGCGGCCGCCTTAGCGACACAGTTCAGGAACAACAGCTGCCCTGCCATCACCATGACGACGCCCTTCGCTGTCCGGCCCAATGACTACAGCTTTGTGTCTGAAGGTAAAGAAAACAGACATGTAAAATCAGTGATGAGGAGTCAGTGAGGTGCTTTGTGAATGAGCAAAAGATCAGAGAATCTTCATTTACTTGATTAAACAGCAATTAGGGTCAAATTATTGATTTATTTGTGAAGAGATTAGATACAAGATGATCCACTTGCATATGGAAGGAGAAAGTCAGGAAGGAAAAGACCAGCAGCCTCAAAGTTTATTATATGCTTCTATAATCTAAGAATAACTCAGCTAGTTTGCATTAAAGTCCCTGTAGTTACTGAATAACAAGCTTTGCTTTGTAATAACTCTGAGAATTTAAGGGCTTCATTTTTTAATTCTAGGGTACTCTCTCAAACCTCATAAAAGCTCTGTCACAACAATGGATAACAATATTTACAAGTGCTTTTGGGAGAAAAATGCCCATATTAACCCCTTAAAATCCCAGATTTATTACGTACTAGGGCTTATTATTCAGTAACTACAGGGACTTCAGTGCAAACTGGCTGAGTTATTCTTAGGCTACTGAAGTGTGCAGTAAGCCTTTGGGCCTGCTGGTGGGCATTGGAGTGTTAAACATTAATACCAATATAGAACTATAGCTCAAATCACCACTTTCCCCACAAGCCTAGGTGCTTGAATTAGTCGTCTTTTTGCTAACCTCACCACTAGAGAACACCATGGAGGTGACCCTGCGGAAGAGGCTAAATGGCCTCGGTTTCAGTTTCCTGATCGCCGAGTTGGACACGTCCCTGGACTGTGGCACTGTGGTGCGGGTGAAGACACTGTTTCCAGGCCAGGCAGCAGAGGAGAGTGGCCTGATCCAGGAGGGAGACGTGATCCTGGCCGTTAATGGAGAGTCACTAAAGGGGCTCTCGTATCAGGTAGAATGGATGGTGGAGTTGCAGCAAGCTTTGAAAACGTACCTCATACTAATCTACCTAAATTAGTCTAGTTCAACCTAATGAGAAACTCTAGAACAGACTCAGTTTATATCACAATACCTACATTGAGAGTCGGTTATTCATTCAGCCTAATGAGAAACTGTAGAACAGACTCAGTTTATATCACAATACCTACATTTAGAGTCGGTTATTCATTCAGCCTAATGAGAAACTGTAGAACAGACTCAGTTTATATCACAATACCTACATTTAGAGTCGGTTATTCATTCAGCCTAACAAGAAACTGTAGAACAGACTCAGTTTATATCACAATACCTACATTTAGAGTCAGTTATTCATTCAGCCTAATGAGAAACTGTAGAACAGACTCAGTTTATATCACAATACCTACATTTAGAGTCAGTTATTCATTCAGCCTAATGAGAAACTGTAGAACAGACTCAGTTTATATCACAATACCTACATTTAGAGTCAGTTATTCATTCAACCTAATGAGAAACTGTAGAACAGACTCAGTTTATATCACAATACCTACATTTAGAGTCGGATGTTCATTCAACAGTTTATATTGTGATATAAACTGACTCTGTTCTTTAGTTTCTCATTAGGTCAAATGAGGTTCTGTGGATTGGTCAATTGTAATGTATGCTAATTATTTGCTAATATTTAAAGTAATCGTGCTCTTGAATTTGGATCCTACAGCGTGTGTTGAATCTACTGAAGGGTTCCACCCCAGAGGTGAAGCTGGTGATCTGTCGTCCTGCTGCAGGTAAGACTTCATGGGTCAGATTGAGGCCTGTACTGGAGTACAGCGTTGGTGCTTGAATGTACTTGGGGCCATGGGGTATTTTAATGTTTTATAGGTGATTTCATTGCCAACCAGATTGGACGTGTCAGTGTTTTCATCTGTCCTCGTACTGTTTTTCACCAAACTCAGTGCTGCTCTGATCATTTAGGCCTGTCTGAAGACTCATCTATATGATATTTCAGGCAAACGTTGCCTTATGTTGGAAAAAAGAGGTTTACTCTCCTGGTTTCTCCTGGTCTACAATGATAGGACATCTGAGTTCGTAGAAAATACAACCCACTAGCAACTCGCTCTTTGCTTTAGAGCCCTACAACGTAACCACTAGTTTATTACTGTTAAATTTGATGTATAATAATATGTATAATTTGAGGTATAATAATATGTAAATGCTGTTAAAGTTTTAAAAGAGACCATTTATTCAGTCACAGTCCATATGATGAGGCCAAGCTGCAAAAAAAGCCTGTTTTGAATGAATTGTTTTTGTGATGGCATGAAAACCAGCACATTTACATATACCTGCCTACAGCAGTTTAGCCCCGCCCACTCACACTAGAAACTCCTTTTTCTCTGTGGTACTTTTATTGCCGTTCAGATGAGTTTTATCCCTGAGGAGATGTTTAAAACTGAATCCAACTCTATTAAGACTTTTGACTCCTCCTCAAGATTTCGGTTCACTTTTGTTCCTGATTTTAGTTTATCACTTTCCTTCTGGAGCAGAAGGTTTTAGCACTGTTAGAATGATGCCATTGTATTCTTAGCTGACATTTACTGTATATGCTAAAAATATAGAGATATGGACATCATTACTGTCACTAGAAAAGCTCGTAACTCCTTTTTTGTTTTTTGGTTTTTAATACCATTTAAATTTGCCAGTTGCTTTTTATGCAGAGTGAATATTTTGTGATGAATGTGCTTATAGAAAAGCAAACCGTTTAATTAGATTATCCACTGTTAACGATTGTTATCTTCAAATTTACCAAATTCACACATTTAAATTTACCTCTGGAAAATTATTAAATTATAATTGAAATTGTGGCCCAATTTTATGTGTCAGCTACTTTGTTTCTTTGCACACAAAAAAAAATGTCAATCATTTACTTGGAGACGTTGAACATCGCATGATCGATGTTAAACAGTGAATGATCGATCTTAAACATTGAAGATAATATTAAGGTTAAGAATGTTTTTTTTCTCTCTGGTGAAGTTCCAGTTTCCAGATCACAGCATTCGAGTCTTTGTTGTGCCTTTCTGTGTCTGTTTTGTCCCGTCTGAAGGAACACTGCCCCCCATTTCAGAGAAAATAGGCCAACTGACCTGCAGCTGAAGATCTCATCAGATGGGCAATCAGACAGTGGTCTCAGAGACCATCGTCAGTGGGAGCGAGGGTCCCAGTGGAACCCCAGAGCACTGTGGAATGGAGTCGATCCTCCAGATGGAGCTGTAGACTCTCCAGAGACCAGTGCTGGATTTTAGCAAGGCAGGAACTTCCTTACTTCCCCCAAGGAGCTTCAGGGTCTTACGAGGTACATGTTCACTTCTTCTTCTGAGAGAGATGCTTTCATTCCAGGTAGTTTAATTAAAATGATCTTATTTTTGAAATAAAGACATGTAGTATGAAAACATTGTTAAAGACCATATATGGAAACTAAACTGCAAAAACGGCCTTTTTTGATTTAATTGTTTTTGTGATGGCATAAAAACCAGCAGATTTACATATACCTGCCTACAGCAGTTTAGCCCCGCCCACTCACACTAGAAACTCCTTTTTCCCTGTGGTACTTTGATTGCTGTTCAGATGAGTTTTAGCCCTGAGGAGATGTTTAAAACTGAATCCAACTCTATTAAGGCTCTTAACTCTTCCTCAAGATTTTGGTTCACTTTTGTTCTTGATTTCCTTGATGATCCTGACTTTAAGTTTTTTTTTCTGTTTTGTTTATGATGTGAAGAATACTACAGCATTCAGCCTATAGCAGTTTAGCTCCGCCCATTCACGCCAAAATTATAAGGAGCGTTTCACCTCTATCTGCTTTTTTGAATGAGGCAGCCAAACAGAACAAAGATCATTTATGTATATCAGTCTTAAAGGTACATTTAAATTTTGAGGGATAATTTGTCATGTGAAAATGAATTATGACTTACTGGCTCAGAAAAAAAATAAAATAGAAGAAAAATGCAGGATTTGGGAGCTTCAGATAACCACAAGTCAGTAATGAAGACTTTAAACATCAACCTGGAATACAAACTGAGATTTTAATTGCCTTTACTGTTGCAGAATGAAACCTGGAGAGTGGCGTCCAGTGCAAATCTGCAGAAAGTGGCCCTAGGAGGAGTTCCACTGCCCTTAGAGATGGCCTCACTTGTGGAATGAAACCTTCATTTCAAGGCAAGTAGCCACAGCTTTAGCTCAAATAAACACCCACCGCTCTGTTAGTGAACCTGTTATTAGGAGGAGCTTTAGTTCTCTTTGTAAGACCCATGATGTGTTTATATGAATGCATTTTCTGCTTTCTTTCATTATGTTAGCCTGACATCCATAGACAAGTAATAGGGGGACAACAGGAATGCAGGAAGATGGGGTGCTGAGGGGGCTGCAGCTCCCCCTGATTTCAGGACTGCGACTGCTAAAAACAATAATAATAATAATAATACAGAGATCTGCGTTTCTACCACAGACCCATGTGTGCTTGTTTTAGAGAAGAGTTTGTATTTTTCTATTTTTATTTATATGCTATGATCTGCAGTAGCTGCACTGGTTAACTATGTATTTTCATCACAGTGAGCCGAATCACTTCCCATTAACAACAGCCGCGTCACTAAAACACCTCTTTGAGGTACAAAGAGAGAAAGTGCAGAGATGGAGGCCAGAACCCCAAAGCAGATTCATATTGTTTTTAAACTCTTAAAAAATCAAAATAACTTAATAATAATAGGTTTTATAAAACATTATTTCTCCCAATCAGTGTGAGTTTCAGCATTAAATCTCACCGTGTGACTGTGGGTAACATAATCAGTCATATCAACAATGTGATTGGTCACCACTCAGTTAATTTGCATAAAGTTAATCCAGAATGAGAGCAGAGAGAGGATGTGCGTCAGCGCTCTGATGTGTCAGTTACATGTGTATGTTTGATGTAAAGCATCAAAAAAATTCGAATGGAGAAAATATTGAAAATAATTTAGCATGACGTCATGATTCACGTGACATATATGCTGCTTAAAACTTCAGCTCCCCCAACTTAAAACACCTTCCTGCATCCCTGGGTGACAACCTCGCTTCATATTCAGTAGTGTACATCGCCACCTAGTGTTTTTCTTGGGCAACAGAACAGAGAGGGAGTGTGTTATCGCGAAATAATATCACAGATTTGGTCGCCGTAGATCATCACAGCCGTGATGTTATTGGTGATAACACACTCCTCGAGTGTTCTATTGCTTTTATACAACAGTTAAATAAATAAAGTAATAAATTAATAAACTGGGCCTTTTGAAGTACAGACTGAGCCATAAAACTGCCGCAATATCAAGTTCAGCTCAGTTTTGTCAGTTTTTGCCAGATCAGTATTAATGTTGTTTTGTTCCAGCCAGTCTGTAAAGCATCTTACAGCCCGTTTAGTTTGGCGAATGGTGTTGGGTTCATTTCTGGCTGATTCCAGGTTGTTCAGCTGTTCTTCTGTCACAGCTGCCGACTGAAAAGCTGCTCAGTGGTGATGACAGTTTGGGAATTTAGTGTCGTCTCATCTTCAGAGTCTGACCAAATCGGCTGTCGGTCAAAAGTGATCTTAAAAGTAAGAAGTAAAAACATTCAAATGTCTTGAGCCACAGCTGTCAAAGTCGTTGCTTAGCAACGGCATCTCAGCAGAGTGATGCAGCATTTGTGAAAAAACGTGATGTTATGGTGAAATAACAGCACAGTTAGAACGCTTCTCAACCAATCAGCTCGCGTGGCCGGAACTGACTGTTGTACAACAAACGATATCAGTCATTCAGTCAGTGACTCAGTAAAAGTCAGCGGCTCTCGTTGGCTGGCCTGCTGTAACTATGGAACTGTTAATCAATCGTGTAATTGTGTAATCATATTTAAATTGTGCAGTTTAATGACAGTGACTCTAGAGTTTAGACCGTAGGCTGGCAGATGTTAGTGTGAATGTGAAAGTGATGTAAGTGATGTAAGCACACAGGGGCTCTTTAATCTCCATCAGCTTTCCAGGAATAATCTTGAACTTCATGACCTGCATGTGCACTGACTCCTTGTCTGGTCTAATCCGGGCTAGTTTTAAGAGTCTGTCCCATTTCACCACTAAAGCACCTGCCCACAGCGCCGGTCACAGGACAACAGTGAACAGCGCGATTAACTGTTTATCCTGCTCACCTGCTGCTCACGTCAGCAAGTCCTGCTGGACATAAAAATAGCACAGTGAGCAAAGCAGACGCTTCGATTTTTAACACTGCTAGTTTTTATCAGAACTCTGTGCAAAAAGAAAAATAATCACACAGCGATTATAGTATGTGATGTGGAGATTAGCATTAAAATAATAAAAAAAAACGGTAACACTTCAGTAGAGGGGGTCATTATAATGCCTTCATAACACTTGCATTAACCCTCTGTGTTCTGAGGTCATTCTCTCTGGATTCGTTCATCTCTTCTTAAACTCTCCTCTAAAGGCTCTTCATGTATCATGATCCTCATATGTTTCATATCTAAATGCTCCGTTATCTTCATCACTACTTTCCAAAACCTCTGCAGCAGCTTCAGCAGCTGTAAACTCTCTGCACGCTGTTTCACATGAGTCTCCGATGTGGACTGAATGAAGAATGAAGGGTTTCCGGCGTGATGGTCAGTCCTTAGTGATTTCCTGAGTGTCCATCGGTCAGTTTCACACAGGATGTAGACGGACACACGAATCCACCAGTTCCACACGGTGAGAGGCAGATGGCGTGTATCTCAGCCCCTCTTCATAGGCTCATAACTCCGGATGTGAGTCTCGTATGATCTCGTGATAAGATGGAATGGAAAGGGCGACTCTACAGATTCAGGAAGTGTTTGAACTGGATTTCTGTGCTGGATCATCACAAAGATACACACCTTTTCTCAGAATGAGTAGTTTACTGATAATTTCTATATCACAACACCACTACAGACCCAGTGCTCAGGTGAGGGCTGTACACTGGATTCTGATGTATCTCACATAAAATTACACTGCAAAAAAATAGTATCTTGTCAAGTAAAATGATCTTAAAGCCAGTCGATATATCTAATATTTCTCATTTTTAGATCGGTGTGCATGTATGATAAGATTATCAAGTTTATTTCTAGACACTCTTCACTTGTTTTTATTTAGTAAATTATCTCTCTATACTGGCAGATAATTTTGATGATTTTAATCTCATTTCTTAAAACAAGCAAAATCATCTGCCAGTATAATAAGAATTTTACTAAATAAAATTCCTTAAAACAAGTAAACAAGAAATAAGGTTACATCTTAAATTAAGCCTACAAAAATCTCAGCAGGAGAAATATTAGATTTATTGTCTATATTTAAGATCATTTTACTTGAAAGGACACCATATTTTGCAGTGTAGCTGGAGTAAAGTTGTGCTGCTGAACTTGTGCTGCTTTGTGCCTCAGATTAAACTCTAAATGAGGTTCACAGTCTGATTTTAGTAGTCTAATTTTGACCCACCAGTATTTTGAAATATGTAGTATGAATATTACAGATCACTGTTTTATTTCTTTCAAAACACTATAAATACAAAATGTGTCAGTGTTTATTTTCTCTACCTTCGTTTTCTTAACTTTTCAGCTTCTAGAATGTCCAGCAGAACAAAGGTTGACCACTAGGTGGAGCAAGAGCCTCAATGACTGCTTGATCTACTCCAAAAATGACAAAACATGAGAACTGCTTTGTGGTTTGTTGCATTTTCTTGCAGGTAATTATTGGAACATCTTAATGACTCTTTTAACTTTGTGTTTGTTTCTCAGGTTGATCTGCTGCCTCTACAGCGATGATGCACATTCTGTATACAGCAAGTCCACTAACTCACCAGACTGCCTTAATCACAGCGTCCAGTGATACTGAGGTCACTTATGATGTGCCTTAAAGCCAGGAGAAGATTTTATGTTTAAAGGTTTTAATAGGACACATTCATAAATAAATGAATTGCATTCCAGAGCGATTTCTGTCATCTTGACGAAAACGGTTAATTTTCAATAAGTGTTCACAATATTTTACTCGTAATTAAGTAGTAAATAATCCAAAGACTGCACAGTAAAACTAAATTGCAGTGGCACATGGGATGTTGAGTTCTTTAATAGAACCATTTGCA